ACGCCCGAAACGTCAGCCTTCCTGCTCCTATGATGCTGCTTGGCCTGCTGTGCTCATCCAGCTCTACACCTTGTTATCTCAGATTTTCCACCATCTGCAGTTCCTACTATCTCTGATACAATTGGTTGCTGATTGTGTGATGCCAGAGATGCAGCTGATCCTTGAAAGGATCCTGATATTTAGCACATTGATGTTGCAGTCACATTTGTTACCACTGGCATTGATCAGATGGCCACCTATAATATCTACCGTGCTTAGGTGCAGTGTTCCTGGATCAGGGCATCCCTGGCTTCCATACCATCCTGAGCAATGCATTGCCACATGGGTCCAAGCTCTGATGGCCTTCATAGTGCTGCCAGATGTTCCCCATCAACTGTCTCCTCTTTCAAAGAGACAAGGCAATCTTCCCCATGGTCCTTCTCTTGGCCTGATTGCACAGCAATGCTACAATCCTTAACAATACTGAAGAGCCAGTTCAACTGACCAAGGCATCAGAACCACATATTCTGGAGGCTAGTGGCCTGCTCAGTCGTGGCTCATGTGCTGAGATTGCAGTGGTCTTGTTTCTCTTTTGCAGTGGTTGTGGAGTCTCTTACTGGGGTCAGCAAACGTCGCTTCACTAGGTGTGTCTAACTAGCTGGGACCCATCCACAAAGGCTGTGTGGTGGGAAGTATAGCTGCAGCATTTGCAATTGCCTCAGAATGAATGCATCACAGCAACAACCAGGAAGCCTTGGAAGGAGTTGGTGGCAATGGCTGCACATCGAATGAGTGGAAGATCTTTCCTGCTGATGAATGCTCCGCGCTGTGACATTGGGACTTTGATGGGTGCCCTGGATCATACCTTGTACTTGACTGAATTCTGCAAGATGGCAAATGCCACACAGCCCACTATATCTAATTGCCTACATTTGTAATATGAAGCCTGATGCCTTCTTAGAACCTGACTCCATTCCCTGGGCGGCTGATTATGAGAGCCCACAGACTTCTTGCTGCCAACCCCTAAAATGAAGCAAGTGTGAGTAAACGTTGAGATTCCTGGCATCTTAGTGACATTGGGAGCCCTCCTTGGGCCTTTTCCATGATTGTGCACAGATCAGCCACCACCTGCACAACTACAGTCCGGTTACTGCACCTCTGGCCCCAGTCTGAGAGCTCTACTTTCATCAGTGAACTTGACAAAACATGGATTCCTCTTCGTATTTTCCTCTTTAAATAAGAGGCCTTTAATTGCTTGTTTACTCACTAAGCTCCTATTGTATAGTCACCTCATCTGCTTGTATAAGCTTTTGACCTAACGTGGAGCCTGTTTACATTGGCAAAATTGTATGTGTGACAAATAACCCTAAACTGGCTTCCTATTGATCTCTGGCACAGCAGGGAATTATCCTCCCTGAGATGGACAAACAGGAGGCTGGGAGAACACAGCCGGCCAGGCAGCGTCCGGAGGAAAGGAGCAGTCAACATTTCGGGTATTACCCTTCTTCAGGATTGGATTTCTCTGATGTGTTGCCTTCAGAATAACTGCGCGAAGCAAAAATGAATTAGTCAAATAGCACATTGTATTCCTGTGCAAACTTACTGAGCACCCCCACCTCCGAATCTAGTACCATCTCTGTAGCAACATCAGTCTTGTATTTGTGTGTTTATATGTTTCTCTGTCTCTGACTTTGTGTGTGTCTCTCACTGACACCCTTCTCTGATCTTTGCTGTCTGTCTCTCTTGAGTAATATTGTGCAATAAATAGAAAAAGATTGAACAAGATTTTTGTTTTGTTTAAGGCAAAAGCTCCCAATGCTACTGTGATTGTAGTAGGAACACATTTGGATTTGATTGACACAAAATTCCGATCAGAGAGAATTGCTACACTTCGGGCTTATGTCCTAGCTCTGTGTCGCTCTCCATCTGGGCCTCGAGCAACTGGGTATCCTGACATCAGCTGCCGAAATTTACAGTGAGTACAATCCCATTTACAGCGTATGTTCCTCTTAAGTTTTTTATTCAGTCTCTCAGCATTGATTCCAGTAATTTGCCACTACAAGGTTAGGCTGACTTGGCCTGTAATTAATTGGTCTATTCCTCGTTCCATTTTTAAGGAAAGATAAACATGAGTGATCCTCCGTGAGGATTGAAAAATTATGTGCAGGGCATCCGGTATTTCCCCCCTGGTTTCCTTTAGTAGCCTGTGATAAATTTCATCTTACCCTGGTGTTGATCCACTTTCATAGATACTAGTTTTCTTAGTTTTTCTTCCATCTCTATGCTAATCATTTCCAATATCTCACTGCCCTCTTAATTTCAATGCTGGCATCGCCCCCTTTTTGTTTTGAAGACGGACACAATGTATTCGTTCGGAACCATACCATGTCTCTAAACACAGGTTACCTTTTTGACCTCTTATGGGCTCTACCCTTTTCTTAATATAGTCATTAATCACCTTGATTTTGCTTGTCAATATTCTTTCATGCTCTGTTTGATTTCTTGATTTCCTTTCTGATTTTACACCTGTATCCTCTTTCTGCAGTGTTAAGTTCTCTCAGTCTGATATAGGCTTTCCTGTTCTATCTTGTCTTACCTTGCCAGCTTTCACATCCAGGGGATTCTAGGTTTGAATACCTCCAACTGATATATCACTAATTTACCTTCAAGTAGCTGTTTCCACCCCACTTTTACTAACATACTCCTCAGCTTAGTAACTTTGGCCTTAACCCCAATTTAGAACTTTAACTCCTGCTCTACTTTTGTCTTTTTCCATAATTATGTAAAAACTAACTGAATCATGATTGCTATCACCAAAATGCTCTCCTTCCACCTGTCCAGCCTCATTTCCTAAAACTAAGGCCAAAAGTACACCCTCTATTGTTGGACTTGCTACTGGCCATAAAACTTCTCCTGAATCCATCTTGAGAATTTTGCTCCTTCAGTTCTTTTCATGGTAAAACTACTACAGTTAACATTGAGATAATTAAAATCCCCTATTACTGCCTTATTTTTATACTTCTTCTAGATTTGCCAAATGCTTGATTTTTTTTTTTATTCTCCCTCTAACTATTTAGAGTTGTACGGTAAACTCTTAGCAGTGCGACTGGCCCTTTTATGTTCCACAGCTCAAGGTAAATGGCCTAATTTGAAGATCCTCCTAACATAACATATCAGCCCTCTTCACAGCTGTAATTGTTTCTTCAAACAACATTGCCACCCCTCCCCTTCGTGTCTTACAACACCCCCCCACCACCCCACTTGATCTTAGCTGGAAACTCTAAGCAGGAATATTGACATGCCAATCCTGTCCCTCTTTATGCCATGCATTTGGAATAGTTATTGCCATGTTTCCTTCTGTACCTTCAGCTCATCTGCTTTACTTGTGAAACTCCTGCATTGAAATTGAGCACAGCCAAACATATTTTGAAAATTTCTAATCATTGTTTCTTTTCCCTTCCAGGTCCAACCACTGATTTTGTTCCTTCCATTTCAATTGTGTACCAACTAAATCTATCCTTGGGTACCCATCTTCTTGCCAAACTGCTTTAAACCCTGCCCAACAGCACCAGCAAACCTTCCTGCTAGATATATGTCCCAATTCTGTTGAGGTACACACAATCTGACTTTGACAGACTGACTGCCCAGAACCTGTCCAAATGCCCCAAGAATCTAACAGCTCCCTCCTGCACAACCTCTGTGGTCTTTGTCACCACCACTGGGGTAGCGTGCTGGAAATCAAGCAACAGTACTCTTGGATTGTCACAAATATGAAAACAGTTAGTCGGTCTGTCTTAAAGTCCCAATTTACCTGACTGACAAACTCACATTTTTAAAAAAATGCTCACCATGTTTCTGTACTTAACAAGAAAATACTGTTTATTACAAATTGTCCTTGAACACAAAAAACACGAATTACTAACATAAAGCTTAAACTCTGCCTTAGCTCAAAGTCTCCCCTTCAGAAACAGATAAACACATAAAGTCAGACAGGATATGGATATGAAAGGTGGAAAAACAAAAAAAAAGTCTCTGAAGCTGTTTTATTTCTCCTTCAGGGGATTTGCAGAGAAAGTTGAGTGGAAGCCAGCTAGCTATTCCTTGGAGACTTCCTGGTACCTCCAGAAGGGGAAGAGAGAGAGAGAGAGATTTTTGATGCTTTCTCTTTGCAGGCTAGCTGTTTCTGTTACACTGGCCCCACATAAGCCATGGTTGCCAAGTCAGGAGCTAATCAGAACATTGTTGTAAAGCAACAGAAGCAAAAATTCCTGGAAAAGCTCAACAGATCTGGCAGCATCTTGTTATAAAGCAGTTGTTTCTAGTTCAGAACCTACTGTCTGCTTTCACTCAGAAAAAGACAACAATGTCGCAACTCACAATGTGCTCCAGTAGACATGATGACAACAGCCATCTCTTTGCACATTCTCCTTGGTTGAAAACAGTGTCTTCCTTTTTTGGTCCGCAGCCCAAAAATAAAGGAAATAAAAAGATGTGTGTCTTTACACCAATCATTCATCTGTGCTAACCTCCTGTTTCTATTATCAATAACAAATGGTACTGGGAGTAATCTGAATTTTACAATCCCCAGTGTTTTAGTCTGTTTCATAACCTAAATATTTGATGGAACTAAGTGATGATTAGTCTGTGAGCTTAATATCTCAAGCCATGTCTCGTATACTTTTGGTTCACCCTTTTAGGGGGATTGTAGAGACAGCTGTTAGGTTCGGGCCAGAGCTATATAAGTAGACATGGTGCAAAGTGAACCTGCTCACTTTAAGACACTGATATCATAATGGTGTCTAATGGCAGAACTGAATCTGTAACAGAATAATAACAAATGGGAATTGATGACCAGCATAGGTTCAATAAGTTAGGCCATATTCATCTGATTGAATATACAATAATGGAAGTGGAATGAAATGTGTGGAAACAAACGCATGAAGACTTGTATACCTGGTGTCAGAATCCTGTTCAGTGTGTGTTAGCTACCCAGTTTTTAGTGATTTTTAGTATGTTTATTTTTGTTTTAAAACAATGAGGTTTACAGCACAATTCCTCAGGTCATGTGTTAAACTACTTCTGTTATAGCTCTCCCCTCACAGTGAGATATCTACCTCTCCATCTCTCTTTTTTACAGTGAAATATCCACCATTCTATCTTGCCGTTTATGTTGAAATATCCACCTCACATCTTTCTCTTTACAATGAGATATCCACCCACATGTCTCCTTACAGAGAAAAAATATCCATCCCTCTCTCTCCGTTTATAGTGAGATATGCACCTCTCTTTCTTGCCATTTATGATGAAATATTTATCTCTCATCTCTTACAATTAATGTTCTCCATTGTGTCTCCCTTACAGTGAGATATCCTGCAAAACACTTGATGGACTGGAAGGGCTTCGCAAATTGATCTTTCAAGTTGCTTGTAGCATGAAGAACACAGGGAATCTAACTGCATCACAGAGGTTGGTTGGGAGATTGGTAAGTGCTTCTTAACTTTCAATGTGGTATAAGATAGACTGTGTTTTACCCTGAATGCTCCCATTCAAGATCAAGTCCAAGCTTTAACACCTGCAGTCAATATCTGGATAAATATTTCTACTTTCTGCCATGAGACCTCCAGTATTGTTTTGAATTTAGTTGATTTGTGACCAGTCTGCTAATTTTTAAAATGAGTCAAAGTTTATAGCACTATTTCATCATTGCCCATGGCTATTGCGTAGAGTGAATGGTCAAGTTCTGAGGGTATAACTGAACATTGCATTTGTTGTGCTCAATTCTCCTTGCACAGAACGCAGGCGGACTCAGGTTTGCAGGTTGCCTTTGTAGTTATTCAGACAACCTCAGCCTTAGACTGTTGACAGAATTCTATCTAATACTCAGTCCCAAACCTAATCTACATCTCTTACAGAAAATCACAACCTTTAAATCTCTGTGATCACGCATGTATACATTATTTACATTTCATTGTTGGTCCTTCTGTTACCCTGTCTACAGGAATTGGTTTATACTCTCTAGTCTGTTCCCAAGGCTCATTGGGCTCTTAGGATGGACAAGATTCTTCTTCAGTCACATCTGCTGGCATGGACCCTTAAGGTGTTCAAGATTTATGCCTGCTAAAATGTGCCTTGGAGTACTAGTTGTCCTGCTGCTGTCAGAATCCCATTTTATAAAATTTTATTTCACATTAAAGAGGAATTATTAGCTGCTTATCAAATTTTACAGTGAAGCAAGCAGCAAGATTGGACTAATTCATGATTCCTGCACTGCAAAATTTGGAGTTGATTTGAAGTCTATCTTTTCAGAATCAGTAGAGTTGCATCATGCACCATGGGTGCCATTTGAATGAGTGCCATGTTCCTACTTTTCTCTGATTATAGTGAAGTTATTTTCCAGGCAGAGAGAATGTATTGTGGAAGTTTCACTGCAGGGGATGTAGGGTTCACCACAACCCAATCTGTACCTCCTGCTGCATTGGCAACGTTTTCAGAACTGACTGTTCCTCATTTATTCAAAACTAAATTTCTGAAATTTAAAAGCCTAACCCTGCGTCTTTATTAACTTAACATGTAAGGAAATGATTTTTTAAATAATTGGTTCTCTGTTTTGAGAAAGTTATGAAACACCTAGATGATGATTATGAAACTACAGAATGTTTTACTGGAACCTGAGCTTTTTTTTCTGTTTCAATTTTGAAAACAAATAAGAAACAAGCATTTGATCTTTGAATATTTCCCAGTTCAATATTGCTGATTTCTCCTGTGAACGAGCACTTTGTCACTTAGGATCTTTTACCTTTGTTGCCCAGTATCTGGTTGTACCGTTCTGTGTGTTACATGAAGTACATCCCGTGATATCACACATGACCTTTTCTAATCTGCCAAATGGAAAACCGATGAACACTTAAACAGGGTACAGATGAGATCCATCAAACTGGTACCAGGGATGCTATGTATGTTACATAGAGCAACTAGAGAAGTTGTGATTGTTCTTTCAACAAGAGAAAGTTGAGGAGATATTTAACAGTATTCAAATTAATCATGGTTTTGCTGACATAGATGGAGAGAACCTATTTCTGGAAGCAAGACACTTGGTGGGCGGAAGGCACTAATTTAAAGTTATTAGCAACCAAACAAGCAATAATGAAGGGAAATAAGGTTATGTTGGAACTGTACAAAACACTTGTTAAATCATAGCTGGAATACTGCACACAGTTCTGGTGACTACTTTTCAGGAAGTGTGTGATTACAATCGAGAAGATGCAGAGGAGATTTATGAGGACATTGCCTGGAATGGTCAACATTATCTAACCTAGCCTCATGGAAAATCTGGGAGAGTTTTCTTTGGAACAGGGGAAGCTGAAGGGAGATGTAGTTGATGTGTATAAAATTATGAAGGGCTTGAACAGATGGGAAGGAGCGACTTCTGTTGGCATTGAGGTCAATAACCAGGGAGCATAAATTTGAAGTAGTTAGTGAAAAGATTGAAAAAAGGGGTATTAAAGCAAATCTTTATCATTCAGATGCTTGTGGAGTCTACCCTCATCACATTCTCAGGACCTGAGGTGCTAGAATGGATAGAGCCAGAGTGCTGCATTTTCAGAGGTGCCTCTTTTGGAAGAGATGTTAAACCAAGTCCCATTTATCTTCTCAAGTGATGTAAAAGAATGTTACTGGTTCAAAGAAAGGCATGCAGGTGAAGGATTGTCCTGAACAAAATTTCTCCCTCATTCAGTATCGCAAGCAAGTGATCTGTTCATTATCACATTACTGTTTGTGGGATCTTGATGTGTACAAAATCACTGCCATGTTTCTAACATTGCAACACTTTAAAAGTATTTCATTGTCTGTGGAGCGCTTGTGGATATCCTGAAAGATGCTCTAAAAATATAGGCCTGCCTTTGTTTTTACCATGCAGTAATACTGGCCTCCATTACAGATACCAAAGAGTTACTTTAATCTGTTGAATGCTGTCCTAAAAGAACAACAAAGAAGAAGCAGTAGTAACGAGGTCCAATACTTAACTGACCAGCAACTGGAGGAGATTGTGCAGCAGACTCCTGACAATGACATCAAGGACTTTGAAGATTTGCAGACCGGTAATTCTCAATGCTATTTTGAGTAAAAATTCATTTTCTCAATTATTCACTTCCTTCACATACTTTTATGTTGTTACATCAATGCCTTTTTCATTATTTGTCAAATAGAAACTATAAAGCCCAAATTGAACCAATTACCTTTCCAGTTGGAAATCAGCACTGTGCAAAAACAACCAGATTGGAAATCCTAGTTCTTACCCTGATCAGGTATAAAAAATATTCCCACTTCCCATCCTCAGACTTTGAGGCTTCTTCGCGTCTGCCTCGGTGCAGAAATTCTCATTGATGACAGCATAGATAAGTCATGCAGAAAGCATGCCCTCCCTTTCTGGCACTAGCTGCTGTATTCTGGTAGTCAAGTTTAAATATCCCAGAATGTCTCATTAACTCAATGTGTGCATAACTGAATGTGAATGCTTTGCTGTATAAGTGGTAAGTGTATGTATGTTAAGTGTGTAAGTGGCAAGGGAATAAGATGTAAGGATGCTGGATAGGGAAGGTAGCAAGAAGGGTAGGATAGTGAAGTCAGTTTGAGGAGTGGTTGCAAGGTGGTCAAGGAGGTCCAGAGGGGAGATAGGGAGGTCAGTTGTATTCTTACCCAGAGTTAGAATGGGTTTTTATCCATCTAATATTTCCTCTGTAACTATCAGCTAAGTAAGTCCAAACTTCCCAGATAATTCCGATGGAATTCCTACAGAATCCCATTTGTGTTGGAACTTCAGTGATGTTCTAACATCATCACTGGGAATAGGTCTCATCTCCAACCACATGGATACTGGAGGATCTGGGCCAGTACAATAATAAGTGAGAGCATGAGATAACCAATTCATTGTTGCCTCATTGTGTCTTTGTTTGGCTCGGCAGCTTTCTCCTTCCTTATTGAGACAGGAGCATTGCTGCATTTTCCAGACACCAGCCATGGTCTACGAAACCTCTACTTCCTAGATCCAGTGTGGTTATCTGAATGCTTGGCAAGAATTATCAATGTCAAAGCTTCACGTGTGCTTGCCAAAAATGGAATAATACAAGTTACGGAGCTGAGAACATTGTTGGTTGGAACTGGCTTCACAGAACAGACTGAGGAGCAATACTTACAATTTCTTGCCAAGTTTGAGATTGCTCTTCCAATTACCAACAACAGGTAATTTGTTTTCTAATTTTTAAAATGCATATTGTGGATTTCAAATTACTCAGTAGTCACACAACCCGCTCAACTACAAACAGAAAGTGCCCTAGGAACTCAGTAGATCTGGCAGCTACTGCAGAGAGAGAAACATTTCACGTCTCCTCTATCTGTGACTCTTCCACCTGCCTCAGTCCCATGAGATCTCTGGCATCCCTGATTTTACTCATTCCACTATTGGTGGCCATGTCTTCAGCTGCTGAGGCCTTAAGTTCAGAATTTTATTCCTAAATCTTAATGCTTTTCAAACTGTCTCATATTTTAAGACGCTCCTTAAAAACTCTTGTGAAAGTCGCAAATAACATTCCATGTGACTGTGACAAAAGTGAACTTTCCTTCCTCAACATGCCTGAAGCATTTGACATTCTTGACCATACCATCGTCCTCCAACTCCTCTGCACTGTTTCCCAGCTGGGTGAGACTGCCCTCACGTGGTGTCATTGCTGTCTATCAGGCACAGCCAGATGATCACTTGCAAAGGCTTCTCTTCCTGATTCTGTACTGTTAGCTCTAGTATCCCCTAAACATTTAACCTTGGTCTTTCCTATTTCTCATCTACACTATGCTCCTCCGTGGTACCATTGAAATTGTGTTAATTTTCCCATGCACGCTGTTGGCATCAAGCTCAACCTCTCCATCAGCACTCATCTCCTGCACTGTTGCTAAGTTATCAGATGCTAATCTGACATCCATAGTGGATGAGCAGAAATTTCTTCCAATAAAATGTTGGGAAAACTGAAGCCATCATTTACCTTTGCTGCTCCAAATTCTGTTGCTGAGCTACCCCTCCATCCATCTCCATGACACCAGTCTGAGTTGAAACCACTGTTTGCAATCTTGTTGTCACATTTGACCCTGCGATGAACGTACAACCTCACTTCTGCGCCATCACTAAGACTGCCTGTTCCTATCCCCGTAACGTCATCTGATAGCAGTGTGTGTCAGCTCATCTGCTGCTGAAACCCTCATTCCTGTCTTCATTACCACTAGACCCGACTATTCCAGACTCCTGGCTGGCCTTATATGTTCTACCATCTGTAAACTTCAAACTCTGCAGGCCACATCTTAATGCCAAAATCCCATTCTCCTGTCAACCTTGTGCTCGTTGACCTACGCTGGCTCCTGATTGTAATGAAGTCAACCAGGTAGACCTCATAGAATGAGTTCCCTGATTAGGGCTGTTAATCTGGTTCAGTCAGGGTGCCCTGGCCAAACAGAAGTGTCAGACATCCTTTTCACTCTCAGAGCTCACTCTGGGGGCGTTGGATCAGTGTCAAGGACTTTCCATGTGTAAATAAAGGGTAATTTGGTGGTGGGATACCGGCCTCTGTGGGGTTATTTCGGTGGCAGTGAGAGAAAAACACACAACTGAAGAAATTCACTTGCAACAGTCATCTTTTGAGTTGAGATAAGTATTTCTGGCATCATGCATAATATGAGAAGCTTAACTCATTTGATCCTGCCATTGCAGACTGGTCCAGTATGTGGAAAGAATGCATTATTTTTTCCAGGCAAATGAGTTTGAGGCAAATGAAAAGCAATAAGTAATTCTTCTGACAGCTTGTATACCCACAGCTTTTTCAGTTAGTAGGAGCCTAACTTTTCCCAAGGCATCAGATAATAACACCTTTCAAGTGTTGACAGATTTAGTTAAGGAATATTATGACCCCATAGCCTCGTGTCGTTCTGAGACACCATCAGTTTTACTCAGCAGTTCAAGAACCAGGGGAATCCGTGTCAGGATTTTTGACAAGGTTAAGATGACTAGCAGAGGCATGTGACTTTGGTGTAGCCCTTTATGAGATGCTGAGAGACCACTTGGTATGTGGGATTAATGATATAATAATACAAAAGCACCTACTAGCTGAAGCCCAACTGGACAACACTACAATTGTCTTTATCATTGGAAAATGCAGCAAGTGGAGCATATGAATTGCAGGGTATTCCGATGGAAGTGGACACCCTCACCAGTACATTTGAGCTTGGAGAACACCACTTGAGTGAAGGCATTTGCTTGGCTCATTCAGGACATATCCTTAACAGAGGAGCTCTAGGTCAGCCCCCAGCAAAACTCCAAAACCGAGCCAAGCCTCGGCAAGCTGTCGAAATTTTCTTCAGGATCCGAGCCGGCAAGCTGCATGCGTGCAGACTTGAGACAACAAAAGAATCCCACTACACGTAATTGAGTAAGACAATTCATAGGCTGGTATCCAGGACAGTGAACACCGTGGAAAGTCTGCCTACATCTGGTTTGGAACAGTTAAATTGCTTAGCAACATCCAGAACCAATCAAAATAAAAGTCTGGTTAAATGGTCACCTGGTTCTAATGGAGGTTGATACCAGTGCAGCTGTTTCAGTGATCACAGAACCAGTCTTCAGTAAAATTTGCTCTGGACTCCAACCATTAAGTTTGTGCAAGACCTTGGCTAGATTGAGAACCCATACCAGGGAACTTTTACAGATTGAGGGTACAACTTCAGTTCTGATCTCTGATGCGAAGCAGCTGATTCGGTTATTACTGATTATAGTAAGAGGGCCCAAGCTTGATGGGGCAAAATTGGTTGAGAAAGATTCACTTAGATTGGCTCAACATTTTTTAATGAGAAAATGGCTGCCTGAGTGAAGTCCTAATTACACACCTGAACATCTTTCAGGAAGATCGAGGGACTATCAAATGAGCCAAGGCCACCTTGTTGACCTGGAAGCAATTCCACGATTTTGCCTTATGGGGGAAAGTAGAGGCAGAAATCAAAAGGCTGGCAAGTGAAGGAATCATCACATCAGTCCAGTTTGCGGAACGAGCAGCAGCTTCGCTAAGCTGGATAAATATCCATTCCCTGGTGTAGAGGATTTATACGCAAAGCTGGCAAGGGGGCTGTCCTTTATGAAGCTGAACATGAGCCAACCGTATTTATAATTGTGATTAGATGAGGATTCCCAGAAGTATGATACAATTAGTACCTATATATGGATTTATAACAATATGAGACTGCCATTTGGGCTATCATCAGTCAGTGCACTGAAAAATTGCAGAATGGAGAACAATTTACAAGGCCTAACCCAGATTACCATTTACCTAGATGACATGCTAATAACCGGGAAGGACAATAAGGTGCACTTAGAGAACTTGGACATAGTCCTTGGATGTTTCTGCCAGGTGGGCATATGCCTTAGAAGGGAAAAATGTGTGTTCCAGGCACCACAGATGACTGACTTGGGCTGCAGAGTTGGCAAGACTGGTATATACCTGTTGGAAGATAAAGTGAGGGCGATCAAATGTGCCCTGGTTTCCATGTCAGTATTGGAGCTTGGGTCCTTCCATAGGCTGGTGAACTATTACAGAGAATTCATACATAACCTGGCCTCCATCCAGGCATCTTCAAATCAATTTTTTAAAAAGAGTCAGCTTTGGAAATGGTCACATAGCCAAGCCCCATAGCCTTCAGGAAAGTGAAGAAACAGCTACCATCCTCTAAGGTGTTGGCGCACTCCCAAACGAGATCTGGTATTCCCACGTGATGTCTCCCCATATGGCATCAGGGTAGTATTAGCTCATAGGTGTCCCAATGGAGAGGAATGCCCAATAGAATATGAATCCAGGACTTTGGCTAATGCGGAGTATAAATATTCCCAGATAGAGAAGGAAGGTTTGGCGGTCATATTTTCAGTACAAGGTCCCACGAATACCTTTTTGTGGAAGTAAATTTGTAATGATAACAGACCACAAACCCCTGCTAGGCCTACTTAAAGAGGACGAGACAGTGCTGCCCATAGCTTCAGGCCGAATTCAGCAGTGGGCTCTTATTCTAAGTGCAGATAATTGCAAGTTGGAACACTGTGCTGAAGGCCAAGTAGCAGATGCACTACCAGTCCATAATGGTTTTAAATTTTCTGGACACTTTTCCAATCATAGCTGACAGTATCAGACTTTAGATGCAGAAAGATCTGGTCATGACAAAATTGAAACATTGGCGGTGATGGAAGAAACCAAAGGGCAGTCACAGCCAGAATTGAAACCTTTTTGGATCCGGAAAGACCAGATCACAGTAGAGGATGGCATACTTTTATAGGGAATAAGAATGATTGTCCTGAGCAAAAGTCACTGCCAGATACTGTCTGAATCCCACCAGGGCCATCCAGGGGTTTCCAAAATTACTATGTTGACGAGAAGTTGTCTGGTGCCAAGGATTGGATGCAGACATAGCTGCATTGATGGGCAGTGCCCAGAGTGCTAACAAGGACAAAAATTACCACCAGCAGCTCCCCCACATTTGTGGAAATGGCTGGTAATCCCTGGACTCAGTTACACATCAACAATGCACATCCTTTCATGAGCTCAATGTTCTTAGTCATTGTGGACGCCCACTCAAAATGGCTGGATGTGCGTAGAGTTTATTCATCAAACACGGGAATGATGATAGAAAAACTGCGCACGTTGTTTGCAGTACATGGAATGCTGGACGTGTTGGTCACATTACAGGCCATTGTTTGCCAGCGGGGAATTTGAGTATTTCCTAAAATTGAATGGTATTCATCATATACGGATAGCTCTATAAAATCCATCATCCAATGATCTGGCAGAAAGAGCAGTCCAAACTATGAAGGCAGGCTTAAAGAAACAGCCTATATTTTCACTAAATACCAAACTGTCCCACCCCTCGTGCAACTATAGGGATAGCACCAGCAGAGTTGCTAATGGGAAGAAGACTCCACACCAGGTTAAATCTGATCTTCCTGGACCTTTTGAGGGAGGTGGGACAGAGGTGATAGGACACAAGATACTGCTAAACAAGATTGTCCCCTGAAGTAGGGGCAGCACGGTGGCTCAGTGGTTAGCACTGCTGCCTTACAGCGCCAGGTACCCGGGTTCAGTTCCACCCTCTGGCGACTGTCTGTGTGGAGTTTGCACGTTCTCCCCATGTCTACGTGGATTTCCTCCCACAGTTCAAAGATGTGCAGGCTAGGTGGATTGGCCATGGTAAATTGCCCGGGATCTGTCCCACTTTATAAGTGCAGTGACATAGAAAATAGGAGCAGAGGTAGGCCATTCATCCCTTTCAGCCTGCTCTGCCATTCAGTGTGATAATGGTTAATCATTTAACTCAGTAGCCTGTTCTGACTTTAATCCCTTTAGCCCTAAGAACTGTATCTTACTCCTTGAAAAGGTGCAATGATTGATCAACTATTTATTATGGCAGAGAATTCCACAGGCTCACCAGTCAGTAAAGAAATTTCTTTCCATTTCAGTTCTATAGGCCTACCCTGTATCCTTAGACAGGTAGCCCTGACCTTGACTTCATGGTATATCAGGAATATCTTGTTTGTGTTTATAAATTTTTGAGACCCCCCCCGCCTCATTCTTCTAAATTCCAGTGAATATAGTCCAAACTGACGCAGTCTGTCTTCATGTGTCAGTCCTGTCATCACAGGAACCAGCCCTGTACACCTTCATTGCAGTCCCTCAATAGCCGGAGCATCATTCCTCAGATAACCCCTACACGTTTCAATGATTCCTCCTTTATGCCTTTGAAAATGCAAATCATTTGCCTGCAGTAACCGGTTAGATGCATAAATTGTGAAATTATCTAAAATGACCAGCCCAATAGAAATGCAGGCTACCAGCTTTTTTGTAAGTATACTAAAGGAAAAAGATAGAATTTGAACCACTAATCTTTATGAGAAGTAGTGGTGAATGTAATTCAAAGGAAAGTAAATATTGCTGATGGACGTGACTGTACTTTTCTCACCAGTTATCTGCTTCCGCATCTGTTGCCATCAAAGCCAGGATTCGAATTCAGTAATTTGCGGAGCAAGAGCACCAACACCATCCAGAGACTTTTCAAAATGAACTTTGTGCCCGTTGGCTTTTGGCAACGATTTATTACCCGCATCTTGATTAGCTTGGCCGAGATGGATGCCCAGGTATGACCCATATTGCCAACTTACTTATACAGGTAGAGCTTTTCCAGCATTGCTGGCTGGTTGCACTTTCTTCCAATATGAAATTGCATTTTATGCAGGAATCTAGATGTTCCAAACAATTTTCTTAGAACATAGAACAGTACAGCACAGGAATGGGCCCTTTGGTCCATGGTGTTGTGCCGAACATGGCACCAATTTAAACTAATTCCTTCTGCCTGCTCTTGGTTAATATCCCTCCATTCCTTGCATATTCATGTGCCTGTCTAAAAGTCCCTTAAACACTACTATCGTATTTGCCACCATCACTACACCTGGCAGTGCATTCAAGACTGCTGCCACTCTGTGTAAAAAAAAAAACTTGCCCATCACATCTCCTTTGAACTTTTCCCCTCTACCCTGAAATGCATGTCCTCTTAGTACTAACCATTTCAATTCTGGGAGAAAGACTCTGACCATCAACCGTATCTATACATCAGTATTCTTATTTATTTAAATGAAAAGCACGGTTTACAAAGTCAAAATCTGCCATTTGTGTAGGTCTCATCAATTGTATGTTGATCATCAGGACAAGTTCTGCCATTTGTAATGTAAGACTGTAGGATCACGATAAGACATTTGTGCAGAAGTAAACCGTTTGAGTCTGCTGGCCGCCCCCGATCTGCTCTGGCTTGCAGGCAGAAGAGGAGAAAACAGAACAGAAATAAAACATGAAAGAGAAAAATAGATAAAAATGAAAATGAACAGACTAGGCAGACAAGCTTTGGCTGGAGTGTCCTAATCCACCGCCATCTTTTGTATTGATGTTGGGTTCGGAGATCATGGTTGAGCTGATAATCATTGACTTCACTTTCCTGCCTTTTCCCTATAACCCTTCGTTCCCTTAACGATTTAAAGTCTCTATTCAGCCTTGAATATACTTAATGACTCAGCCTCAGTAACTGTCTAAACAATTCTACCAGTATGTAGAGAGCTTTTAAAATCTATTCAGAATCTCTGCTCCACTGTCCAAACATGGCTTCTCTCATCCATGCCCCTCTGAGCTTTTCTTTCCCCTCCATACCCACTACCTTTCTTTCCCTGTTCCTTCTCTCCTCCATCATACCCTCTCTTTCCCTTTTGATCTTCACTGACCCAAAGTGCGTTTGCTTCTCTCTACTTCACCTTTTCCCTGCATTACCCTTTTTTCTCCTCTTCACTCCTCCTCTTTTGAAAAGAAGGTGGGAGGGGATGAATGAAGAAGGTGTGGAGAGAGGTTTGGGAAATGGATGAGAGATGAAAAATGAGGGGTGGTTTATCGGTCTCTATGGCTAACAGTGTCTTCCTGTTAAATTCTCTGCCATTGAATTGTTTATGTCATTGATGATTGAGCCAGAAATTCTGATGAAAGATCCCCTCAGATCTGTGAGTGTTTCCCATTATCTAGAAAGTAGAAGCCACTTCTCTCCAAGTGCAAATTGTCAAAATTGGTTCCAAGTCGTGATACTTGCTAATTAAAGTTAAAATCAGGATATTAAATCACATGATGTGGAAATTTGAGTTGTTTCCACTGAAAGATATTGTGACTTTCCTCTTAAAAGAGTAAAGCAAAATACTGTGGATGGTTGAAATAAAGCCAAAAACAGAAAACTCTGAAAATCTCAGCAGCTCAGGCAATAAAATGAGGCTGTTTCGTCTATCAAGTGTTGTTGGCTCTCAGAAGAGCATCTGTACTCATCTCACAGGCTCACCCTTTCTCTGTAGCCCTGCAATTTTTTTTTTCTCTTCAGCTAGTTGGACTCTACATTAGTCTCAGGTAGTGGATTCCAGATACAAACTACTTGCTGCGTCAAAATGTTTTTCCAAATGTTGGCATTGGTACTTCTCCTAATCACTTTACATTGGTGCCTGCTAGTTCTTGAACCTCCTATAATTGGAAATAATTTATTTTATTTTCTCTGTCCAGACCACTGATGAGTTTGAATACTTCTGACAAATCTTCTGTTATCCTTCTCTTCAAGGAAGAGTAGCCCCAGCTTCTCCAACCACCTGCATAAATGAAGTATCTAATGTCAGAATCATTTTTCACCCATTATAATGTTTTGCACCCTTCCTAAGGCACAATCATGGAGCGATGGGGTGTAAGGAATATTGTGTGGAGCAATAGGGTGCAGGAAACGTTGGAGCGCCAGAAGCTTCTGCCTTTCTTTCACTTTTAAATTCCCAACATCAGCAATTTTAAATTGGCTCTCACTTGCATTGTGGATCCTGATTAGAAATGGTAATGACATTGTCGATCTCCTTAGCATCAGGATACTTGGATGCCCTGGTATCCTTTGCTGCAATGGTGGATGTGTGCAGAGTGCCTTAGGGGCTAGTTTCTAATAATTCACTCCCCCACAACCATCAGTTGCCAACACTTTCTCACCCATTATGGTTAACGTCGAGGTCATCCTTTCCTGTCTGAACTTTGTCTTTTCGCTTTTTTTTTAAACAGCTCTTTGAGAATGAAAAGAATCCAAGACGAGGCAGAGCAAATCGGGCATCAGTTTACAGCTTCACAAGGTCACAGCGTCGCAATCGTTGTAGTACTTTCCGAGTAAGAAGAAACCAAACTATTTATTGGCAAGAAGGTTTACAGGTGAACTACGACGGTGGGTTTCTGAGGTAACTACGCTATTAGTTATTGTCTCAGTTGATGCTTCTGTGATCTATAGTTCTTGAAACTCAGCAAGTTCTTGCCTTCCTGTAGTGTGGAATCCTCTGAGGTGAACTGGAAGAGGAAAAAGAGTGCGGGAATAAAAATCTATTGCCAATCTGAAACACGAGATTTCTCAGCAGTCGCATTCATCACTGATCATGTCAATTCCCTGATTGATCAGTGGTTTCCAGGTAAGGGAGTGTTAAGCTGTTTGAACTGGCTCATTTGGCAGCACTTTTGCCTCTGAGCCCTGAAGGTTGTGGGTTTAAGCCTCACTTGGGAGACTTGAGTGTGTAATTCAGGTTGATTGCCCTGTGCAAAACTGAAGGGAGTGCTGCTTTGTCAGAAGTGACATCATTCAGATGAGATGTTAGAGCAAGGTGTCGTAGTCTCTGTAAACATACATAATCCCTGGCTATATTTTGAAGAAGCGCAGTGGAGTTACCCTTGTGTCTTGGCTGCATTTCATAAGGCTTTCAATAAGGTGCTACTGGAAAGTTCATTAGACAAAATTAGGGCTCCTAGGCTTGGGGAGGCAATATATTAACATGAATTGAGGATTGGTTAAAGGACTAAAATAACAAATAGTAAGCGCATCTTTTTCAGGATGATAGTGAGTACCATAAGGACCAGTGCTCAAGCCTCAGCTATTTATAATCTATATTAATGGTTTTAGATGAAAGGGCCAAATATAATGTATCCAAGACTGCTGGTACAAAGCAGAATAGGAAGTTAAGCTATGAGGATGCAGAGAGGCTCAAAGCAATATAGACCCATTGAATAGCTGGGCAAGAAGATAGAAGGTGATAGTTGAATTACCATGTGGGGAAATGTGAAATTAAACACTTAAGTAGGAAGAATAGAAAGGAGAAAAATATGACACCTAAAATTGGGGGTGTAGTGGACAGCAGAGAAGGTTACCTCAGAGTACAGCAGGATCTTGATCAGATGGGCCAATGGACCGAGGATTGGCAGATGAAGTTTAATTTAGACAAATGCGAGTTCCTGCATTTTAGAAAAGCAAATCACGGCAGGACTTCTTAATGGTAAGGTCCTGGGCAGTGTTGCATAACAAAGAGACCTTGGAGTGCAGGTTCATAGTTCCTTGAAAGTGGAGTCGCAGGTAGATGGTGTTTGGTATGCTTGCCTTTATGCATTGAGTATAGGAGTTGGGAGGTCATGTTGCGGCTGTACAGGACATTGGTTAGGCCACTTTTGAAATACTGCATGCAGTTCTGGTCTTCTGCGATTGGAAGGATGTTGTGAAACGTGAAAGGGTTTTGAAAAGATCTGCAAGCATGTTGCCAGAGTTGGAGGGTTTGAGCTATAGGGAGAGGCTGAGTAAGCTGGGGCTATTTTCCCTGTAGCGTCGGAAGCTGAGGGGTGACCTTGTAGAGGTTGTTATAAAATCATGAAGGTCATTGGTTGAATAGCCAAGGTCTTTTCCCCAGAAGTAAATATTACTGAACTGGCTTTCCAGTCTTCTTCAATAATCTATTTTCTCTACTTTGTTTGCATGTGGAAAGAGGAGTTTTAGTTAGCCATGATATATGCCAATGGGTTATATCTGTTCACCTATAGTAACATCTAATTACTTGTAATAAATAATCATTCTTGTTCAGCATAGAAACCTGCTCAGTGCTTTCTATCAACCTTGGTCTCAAAGTCAGGTAGATTGAAATACTATGCATACCCTCTTTTTTTCTTAAAAAAAGCTTAACATTTGGCATGACTCTAGAAGTAACAGGATTTGATTTATGGCACACTAACCCAGTGGGTCATAACTATGATCTTTATTGTAAGAAGATTGGCATTCAAGGTAAAGGATGTGATTGCTACAATTATATTGGCTTTGAGTCCACACCTAGGGTATTGTGTACAGCTTTGGTCCCCTTGCCTAAGGAAAAAAATGGGACATTCCTTCAAAGTGAGAAGGGGTGCACAGTAAAGAATTAGGTAATCTCATTGAAGCATATAGCATCTTAAAGGACTTGTAGGACAGATTCTGAGAGGCTGTTTCTCCTGGAAGATCTAAGATTAAAAGTCATAAATAGCTGACCCTAGCCCTAAAACTGAGAAGTCTCTTCCCTTGTGTTTGAATCTTTGGAATTTTCCACTTCCAAGATCTGTGGGTGTTCAGTTGATGAACATAATGAAAATTGACATTAATAGGTTTTTGGACACTAGGGGAGTTGAGGGATATGGGGATAAGGGAAGAAAATGGAGTTGGTGGAGAAGTTCAACTCTGATCCTGTTGAATGATAGAGCAGCCTTAAGGGTCTGTATGATCGTTACCAGCTGCTATTTCTCTTGTTATTTCAAATAGCTGAGCAGGTCATCATCAAGCTGCTGATTGTGTGATTTTGTTATACATAAAAAGGCTGATCTTAGAAATTTCAGCAATGACTTTAAGCCAGAAGCATTTGAGAAATTTTGAAGTAATAACAGATGCCATCGAAATGAAAGTCTGTCTTCCCATTCTTAGACTGTGGATCTAACAGACAGAATTGACTAGAAAGATTACTTGGCCTCAAATTACCTACCTCAAACCAATACTCAACGCTGCAGACAGAGCTATGGTGGCAGTATTTGGGACTGGACATTGTTAAACTGGGCATCCCAATACCTTTTCACCATTTCAAAATCGCCACCAGAAGTTAAATAACACAATTATGTCCCCTTGGAGGAACCAACTGTTATTTTTTCATCATAGAGACAAGGATCTTACTCTGTCCATGGACTGGAAACCATTGCACTGTCTTGACAACTTGCAGGTGCAAACAAGGTCAAAGTGGATCTGTTTCCAGTTCCTTTCTGGCAAGAATTTATTTGGGGCTACTGGAATCACCAGTTGTGAATTTGCCTCAGCTACATTTCAAGACGTGGGTAGCAGGCAGTTGGCATTCTCTGATCAGAATTTCCAGCAGCCATCACATGGTGAAAATGAGAACTGTATTCTTCTAGCTTCTCCTCATTGAAGGCCCGCCCCTCCTTTCCTCCCTCCCTCCCTTTACCTGTCCTTGGCCTCTGTCCTTTCTCCATCCCTCCATCAACTGTCCCTCTCTTCTTCCAAAACTTGGATTCTCTGACCTCAGGTTCACTATCTAATTTTAACAGTGCTGTTCGAGAGAAAACAATTAATCAGGTGCCTGAATTTTCATTGTAGCCATCGGTTTCATCTGAAATTTCAATACCAAATACTCTTTAAAAATTCACCATTCAGTGCTGAATTTATTCTGGTCCTTTGCTATTTGGTGTTTCTAGCATTTTGTTTCCTACCTTGCCACAACCTATGTGGGAGTCTACATGTAACTGACAGATCTTTTTCTTACCCACATGACTGACAGCTCTTACAGCCACAGATGCGGATGGAACTCCCTTGGTCGAGCAATATGTTCCATGTCCTCACTGCACCCCCACAGTAACGGGGCAAGCTGAAATCCACATCCAGGTTCATGGCCAGCATTACTTCAGTATGGAGGACTGCTTGCTCACTGCCATCAAACACACACACATCGAGTGCCCAAACCACCCAACGGACCCTGTCTCACTGGAGGAGCTAGTTCCAGAGCTTTTTATGACTGATTTCCCAGCCCGGTAAGGACCATGTGAAGGGAGAATGGAACTCTGGGATGTATATTCTATTGTTGGGCTTCACTGTTTAAAAGAAAGGATTCTTTCTTATTTTAACCTCAAGGAAGATTAATAAAAAAATATATAGTTATGAGGGTGAGTAAAAGAGAGCAGAAGAAGAAGGGGTAAGGGGCAGGAAGTGCCTTAGGTGCCAGGGAATGTGAGGGGTGGAGGGGATCCAGAGTCCAGTAATAAGTAATGGGGAAGAGGTTCCAGGATTTACACCAAAGTGACACAGAAGGAACGACAATGTATTTCCAAGTCAGGATGGTGAGTGGCTTGGAGGGGCACTTGCAGTTAGTGGTATTCCCATGTACCTGCCACCCTTATCCTTTTAGATTTTAGAGGTTATGGTGTGTCAGAGCTGCTGTCAGAGGAGCCCTAGTGAGTTACTCTCTGCTGATCAACCTTTTGGTTGGAAAGACGCACAGATTCCCAGTGTGTCTCAGAATAGCCTGTGGACCCTTGTACTGTTAATTCCCATCTCACCAGTGTAACCTGCCCCATGTGACTTCACTGACTGCTGACACTGATCTGTTTTGGATGGAGGGATAATTGGGTCTTGAATTGTTGGGATTGAGGCACGAGATGAGGATTCAGATCAAGAGGCACTGTGAGGACCTGGGAGATGGGTTGAGCAGAGATTAGAAAGGATGAATTAATGGGAATGTGGCTTCGGAGTGAGGGGGATAAGACTAAGACCAAGGATCAGAGACACCAAGTAGCAATGTAGAAAGAGTGATGTGTGCCAGGGCAGAGATCAGTATTGGTTGCAGAGCTGAAGTAAGCAGGGCAATGGCTGGGAACATCACCAAGAGTGAAGCAGATAATAAAGGAGAGAATGAAGCCTGTGGACTTTACATAATATAAATAGAGGGAAACTCTTTCATTGTTGAACAAATGGTGAGCAAGAGATGGAAACCAAGAATTCTCATGAAGCACCAAGGCAGAAGGAAGGGTTTTTGAGCTGAGTGTTATTAGTACATGATTGTTTTCACCATACTATTGATATAGAGAAAAGAGAATAGGATCAATATGGGGAAGAAAGAGACATTTAAAAAGATCTGTTCGTAGTTTCTATAATTCTATGATGTTGGGGAGTGGTTTAAAACCATAGGCACTGAGCTGAATTTCAGATGTTGTTCCCTACGAAAAGTGACCCCGTACCCCGAACCACTACCCTTTGGTATGATCTCTCGATGATCCAGTGCTTTGTCCCCTGGATTAAGTGTGAAGTCTGAGTACAGACTAGCACTGACTAAGGTTCCAAGTGCAGCGTTATCACATGCACAGGAAACCCAAATGGAGATCAGAGTCCAAGTAGATAGCGATCAAACCTCAAGGGATATTTCCTGACGTTGGCAAAACTCCAATCTCATGTCGGCAAAAAAAAATGGTGGTTTACTCACTTGTTTATCTTTTGTTTAATGTATTCATAAAGAACTCTTTTCAGAGCAGGGTAGATAAAGGGAAAGCAGTAGATATATTATATTGGATTTTCAAAGGCATTTGATATGTACTGCACATAAACTAGTTAAGATAAGAGTTATGAATAGTATTTCTTTTATTAGGTAGTCAATCCTATGTTCATGCTGATAAAGAGTTTGGGATAAAGGAGGCATTTTTAGAGTAGCAACCTGTAACTAGTGGAATGTTAGAGATTAGCGCCAGGCCCACAATTACTTACAATATATATGAGTGGCTTGGATGATGGAAGTACTATCGCCATGTTTGCAGATGAAAGAACAACAGGTGGGAAGGTGAGGATGACACACAATCTACAGAGGGGTATAGACAGATTAAGAGAGTGGACAGAACTTGGCAGATGGAAGATGACATGGCAAAACTGTAGGATATGCAGTTTGGCAGAAAGAATAAAAGAGCTGGACTTCATTTAAGTAGACATATTGCAGAAAGCTGCAGCACATGGGCTTTGGGGATCCTAGCACATAGTCATACAGCACGGAAACAGACCATTTGGTCCAATTTGCCCATGCTGACCAGACATGCCAATCTCACCCAGTCACATTCGCCAACATTTTGTCCATTTCCCTCTGAACCCTTCCTATTCATGTACTCATCCAAATGCCTTTTTAAATATTGTAATTTTACCCACCTCCACCACTTCCTCTGGCAGCTTGTTCCATACACACACCGTCCTCTGTGTAACAAAGGCTACCCCTCAGGTCTTTTTTAAGCCTTTGCTCCCTCATCTAAAAACCTCGAGTTTTGGACTCCCTCACCCTAAGAAAAAGACCTTGGCTATTAAACCATCATGATTTTATAAATCTCTATAAGGTCGCCCCTCAGCCTCCAGGGGGGAAAAAACCCAGCCTGTTCAGCTGTTGAGTTCCCTACAACTCAAACTCTCCAGCCCCAGCAACATCCTTGTAAATATTTCTGCACTCCCTCAAGTTTAACAACATCCTCCCTATACAAAGTGTCCAGAATTGTCTTCTTCAGTCAGTCTTCTTTGTCACATCTTCCAAAAACCCAAAAGCTTCGTGAGATGAGATGTCCCAAACTCAAAGCTATATTGACTATGCCTTGCCTTTTCAAATCCATGTAAATCCTGTCCCTCAGAATCCCTCCAATAAGTTACCCACCACTGACATAAGGCTGACTGGTCTGTAGTTCTCTGAATTTTCCTTATAGCCTTTCTTAAATAATGGTACCACATTAGTCAACCTCCAGTCTTCCGGTATCTCACCTGTAGTTGTAATTGATATAAATATCTCAACAAGTGGCCCGGCAATCTCATCCCTAGCTTCCCACAAAGTTCTGGGAAACACTTGATTGGGTCCCAGAGATTTATCTGCCTCTGTGTTTTAAAATCTTCAGCACTACCTTTTCTGTAATATGAACTATTTTCGAGACATCACTATTTATTTCCCCAAGCTCCTGAACTCCCACGTCCTCCTCCTCATAAATTTCATCCAGCATTCCCTACACCTACCAGCCTTGACTTTCACACTATCAGGAACATACTCTCTGTGAACGCTCGTTATCTCATTTGAAAAGGCCACTCTCTTCCCAACCATCCCTTTCCCTGCAAATAGCCTCCCCCAATCAATTTTTGAAAGTTTCTGTCTAATCCTGTCAAAATTGGCCTTACTCTAATTCAGAACTTTAACTTTTTGATCAGTTATATCCCTTTCCATAACTATTTTAAAACTAATAGAATTATGATCACTCAGAGTCATACAGCATGGAAACAGACCCTTCGGTCCAACCAGTCTATGCCAACCATAATCCAAAAGTATACTAGTCCTTCTACCTGCATCTGGTCCGTATCCCTCCAAACTGTTTCTATTCATATATCTATCCAAATATCTTTTAAACATTGTAACTGTACCAGCATCCACCACTTCCTGAGGATCTTGCCCCAAAGTAATGCCCCACTGACACCTCAGTCACTTCCCCTGCCTTATTTCCAAACAGAAGGTCAAGTATTGCTGCTTTTCCAGTAGATACATCCACATATTGAATAAGAAAGTTTTCTTGTACACACTTAAGAAATTCCTTTCCATCCAAGCCCTTAACACCATGACAATCCCAGTCTATATTTGGAAAGGTAACATTACAACTCTCTCCTTCTTACAGATATCTGAGATCTCCTTACGTATTTGTTTCTCAATTTCCGACTGACTATTGGTTGGGGGCCTTTAAAAGAATCCCAACAAGGTGATCATCCCTTTCTTATTTCTCAGTTCCACCCATATAACTTCATTGGACAATCTCCCGGGTATATCTTCCCTAAGTACAGCCGTTATGTTATTCCTAAACAAAAACGCCATTTCCTCTCCTCTCCTGATCTCCCCCCACCCGCCATTCCAATTCTTCCTATAGCAGGGAACATGCAGCTGCCAGTCCTGTCCATCCGTGAGCCACGTTTCTGTAATAGCTATGATAACCCAATCGTATGTTCCCAACTATGCCCTAAGTTCATCTGCCTTACATGTCAGGCCTTTTGCATTGAAGTAAATGCAGTTTAATTTATCAGGCAATGCCAGGTACATATGCTATATGTCACAATAATTGGCTGATCAAATGAAACAGCATGCTCATTCATTATTTATAATAGACAGATAATAGACTGTAGTCAACAAGTCTATAACCATAAGAGCCAAAACAAAAGGTAAAAGGTTAGCTGTGAGATAGCAAGAACTGCAGATGCTGGAGTCAGAGACAACACAGTTGGAGCTGGAGGAACACAGCAGGTCAGGCAGCATCAGAGGAGCAGGAAAGTTGAGGTTTCAGTTGGGACCCTTCTTCAGAAATGAGGCTAATGAAATCACAGAAGGTACTTCAGCTTTCCTCTCACTGCAAACCAAACCAAACTCAAGCCCCAGGTGGGACTTGAACTCTCAATCCCTGGCTCCAGAGGCCAGTGCCTTATCCATTAGGCCACTGAGGACCCTTCTTTAGAAGTGGCCTGACCTGAAATGTCAACTTTCCTGCTCCTCTGATGTAGCCTGACCTGTGCGCCTCCAGCTCCAACTTTTAGCTGTGACTCCATGCTTGGGAAACACTTGCTGAACAATTCCTGAGTATGCTAATAGCTACAGTAATCAGTTGAGCTTGCAACTGTGTTAATTTTCATTTGGTAACATCAATGTGCAGGGTCCTGTTCTCTGCAAACAAAAGAAACGTCTAAGTCTTGCCCCATATTTTTAATTACCTAGGGGCTGGGAAGCCAACAGTTTCCATTCCTCACTCCATTGGAAACTCCTTGACCAATCAAAGTTGTCTTGCCACCCAGTCATTCCTTTTTTCCTGCAATATATTAGTGATCCTTTGAAATTTGGCATTTTTGTTCTTGTCCTGATGAGTGCAAGATGGAAAGATCCAGCAACAGATCTCTCTTTATAGCAAGATTCAAATTCTCTACCACCGAGTGACAATTACATTTATATCAATTTGACTAATATCTGACTTTTTTTAGCAGAGAGTTAGTATAAGTTGTTATCTCTGTGTTGGTCTTTGTCTAAATTATGAAAAGTTTACTGCAGTGTTATTTCTATAACTGTTTAATGCTGTTGTGCAGGTTATTTCTAGAAATGAATTGTCTAGAACAGAGTGAAACAACAGACAACATCCTCGGACAAGGAGGAAGTGGGACAACAGTGTACAAAGCAACATATAACGCCATACCCATAGCAGTCAAGAAATTCCACTTCAAAAAATGTGGACTGCAATCTGATGGCATCAATGAGGGTAAATATGTTAGAATAAATATGTTCATAAATGATATTTGAATGTTACGAGTACATTTGAGTTTGCAACTGAGTTTCTCTGTTTTATGCCAGTAATATCATTGCAAGAGGCAGGAATCAGCTGAACTAACTTGGGATAGATTGTGAAATTTTAAATGTACTGCCAGGGAATCTTGGCAGGGTGTTTGTGAGACTTCCCCGATGCCTGGCATTTCCTTGCAACAAAATGTTTCAGCATTTTCTACCCTGAATGGTTATTTTGAATAAGGGATTTTTTACAGACATTAGATGCTTTTATGTATTGATTCCATGAGACATCAGCATGATGGAAAGCATCTAGAAAGCCAGTTTTGGCTCCAACACTTCAGTCTTGCTGTACAATATACCACATTATAATATAGAATATCATAATACATAATCTATTATTAAACGTTAACAGTGGGAGATCTTAAATACTAACAATTAATCCTTGGGAATCTTAATCATTTATGGTTATTAATGCAACATGTCGAATGTGAAGACTAACACTGTTAAGGTAAGCAATGAAAAATATTAAATGTCAAGAATCTCCAAAACTGGAGGGCGTAGGTTTAAGTGAGAGGGGAAAGGCTTAAAAAGGAACTGAGGGGTAACTTCTCCACACAGAGGGTGGTGCTTGTATGGATTGAGCTGCCAGAGGAAGTGGTGGAGGCAGATACAATTACATTTAAAAGGCATCTGGATGGGTATATGAACAGGAAGGGTTTAGAAAAATATGGGCCAAATGCTGGCAAATGGGACTAGGTCTGGTCGGGTCAGATGAGGTGGACCGAATGGTCTGTTTCTGTGCTGTATGATTCTACTTAGCACTAAGCTTTGTTGAATATTAAAGGTTCCAAGTGTGGGAATGTTAGTAATTCATTTTCAAGTGTTGCTGATGAGGTTGACAAAGGTGTTGCTGACAAGGCCTGGATTTGTTCAAAGTTTTGGCTAAGATCTGTAGCTCGGGTTGTGGGTGAGGTTGTTGACTTGCTCGAATAAGCCAGTTTGGCGAGCAAGTCAACAACCTCGCCTGGATTTGTTGTCTATCTCTAACTGTCCTTGAGAAGTTGGTGATGAGCTGTTTTCTTAAACAATTGCAGTCCTCGGATTTTTGGAACACCTGTAGCGCCGTTAGAAAGTGAGTTTCAGCATGTAGGCAAACCAACAATGAAGGAACAGGAATATGATTACAAGTCAGGTTGGTGTGTAGCCTGGAGAAAGAGATAAGTAGAATTTGACGATAGCTAAAGCCTGGAAACATTCTTGGTCTCTCTTCCCATATTGATACAAGTTTTATTTTTTTCAATATTCCGTTTCAGATTCAATGTTCAGACATCTGGAAGCCATGGAAGCATTACGGAATTTCTCTGAATTCCGTCAGGAGGCCAGCATGCTGCACTCCATGCAACACCCATGCATTGTGTCACTAGTTGGCATTAGTATTCACCCACTTTGTTTCGCCTTGGAACTGGCTCCGTTGGGCAGTCTGAATACAGTTCTGACTGATTATGCCAAAGGTAACAGTGAAAAATACTTCAACTTAGTCAGAATAGTATTTAATGCATCCTGCAGGGTCCAAGACTGTCACCAAAATAAGGTACAGCGTGAGAAAAGTTTGGATTTAGGAGTACAAAGTCTAAATCAGCACTGTACGTGTGGAAAATTAGAATTGCAAAAATTTCAAAAAAAGTTGCAGGATATTTTATGGACCTACTAGCTCCATTTTTTAATAATAAAGGTTCTTGATTTACCTTCATTTTAAGTTCTCTTGGTCTGTTTAAAAAAAAATGGTTATCTAAGATAAATTACAAATCATTAATTGTGAAAGCCTGGAACAACTGTTCTCTTTCAAACAGGCGCTTCGTTTATTCCCCTGGGACATATGTTAACTCACAGAATAGCCTATCAAATTGCAGTCGGCTTGGCATATCTGCACAGAAAAAACATCATCTTCTGTGACCTGAAGTCCGATAATGTTTTAGTTTGGACTCTGGATCTGACAGAAACAGTAAATGTGAAGCTATCTGATTATGGAATATCTCGTCAGTCATTCCATGAAGGAGCCCTTGGTGTTGAAGGTACTCCTGGATATCAGGCACCAGAAGTCATGCCTGGAATTGTTTATGATGAAAAGGTGAGAAGCAGAGTTACTTTGTTCAAACCGTTGCAATAATCCAGATTAGTTTCTGATCAGATAGTATTGTGTGCTTTATTGATCAACATCTGGCTACAGTTCTAGTAATTGTCATTAAGCTGGTTTAGTTCTTGTTCTTTTCACAATGCTGTGGTATTTGAATCTTTCTTCATTCACATTAATTCTCCTTGCCTAATACTTCCCCTCCATACCACTTACCTTATCCAAATCTCAAGTCAGGTTCCACCGTAGCCACAGTCCACAAGCAGTTATTATCAAAGTCATAAATGATGTCCTGTGTGACTGTGAAAGGATAAGCTATCCCTCATACATAACTCCATCTTCTGCAGCCTTCGATGCAGTGACCACACCATACTCCAACACTTATCCACTTTCATCTGATTCACTGACTACATTTCCCTGATTGTGCTCATCCATTTAACCAAAACCAGAGACCAGTGGATCTCTGTAATGGCTTTTCGTCCTGCTCCCGCACTATTACCTGTGACTCACAACAGTCTATGCTTGGCTCTCAATTTCTCATCTACTCTCAATCCCCCAGCAGGTCTTATGGAAACACTTACGATACATTCGTGATATATGGTAATGGCCCACAGCTCTGCCTCACGACAAGCTCTCTCACTCCTTCATCTGTTTGTAAGTTGTTGTTTGACAACTTGTCTGACGTTTGGCAGTGGATGAGCAGGATTTTCTCTGCATAGCATGCTCCATAAATGTGAACTCTCTAACCTCCTCCAAGCTAAGCACTCCAAACTTTGACACCAAACCAAATAATATGATGGCAAATGGCCAAACGTTTGGTCACAGTGGTAGATTTTAAGGAGGGCCTTAAAGAAGGGCCTGGCTAACTCAGTCAGTCGAGCATGAGACTCTCCATCTCACAAGTCAAAAGGAAGAAAGAAGCTTACTTGACGTTGAGGAAGCAAGGATCAGACAGGGCTCCAGAGGTCTACAAGGTAGCCAAGAAGGAACTGAAGAATGAACTTAGGAGAGCTAGAAGAGGGTATGAAAAAGCCTTGGTGGGTAGGATCAAGGAAAACCTCAAGGCTTTCTATACTTATGTGAGGAGCAAGAGGATGGCCAGAGTGAGGGTAGGGCCAATCAGGGATAGTGGAGGGAACTTGTGCGTGGAGTCAGAGGAGGTAGTCCCTCCCAGTCCTTAATAAATAGTTCACTTCAGTATTCACCAGTGAGAGGGACCTTGATGTTTGTGAGGACAGCATGGAACAGGCAATTATGCTCGAACAGGTTGATGTTAGGAAGGAGAATCTGCCAGAAATTTTGAAAATCATGAGGATAGATAAGTCCTCTGGGCCAGAAGGTATATACCCACGGTTACTACGGGAAGTGAGGGAAGAGATTGCTGCACCTTTGGCGATGATCTTTGTGTCCTCCCTGTTCACTGGAGTAGTATCAGATGATTGGAGGGTGGCAAATGTCATTCCCTTATTCAAGAAAAGGAATAGGGATAATCCTGGAAATTACAGACCAGTCAGTCTGTCTTCTGTCGTGGGCAAATTATTCGAGAGGATTCTGAGAGATAGTATTTATGATTATTTGGAAAAGCACCGTTTGATTAGAAATAGTCAGCTTGGCTTTGTGAGGTGCAGGTCATGCCTCACAAGCCTTATTGAATTATTTGAGGATGTGACAAAACACATTGATGAAGACAGAGCAGAGGATGTGGTGTAAATGGATTTTAGCAAGGCATTTGTTAAGGTTCCCCATGGTAGGCTCATTCAGAAAGTAAGGAGACATGGGATTCAGGGAAATTTGGCTGTCGGGATACAAAACTGGCTGTGGATGTCATATACATGGACTTCAGTAAGGCGTTTGATAAGGTTCCCCATGGTAGGCTGATGGAGAAAGTGAAGTTGCATGGAGTCCAGGGTGTACTAGCTAGATGGATAGAGAACTGGCTGGGCAACAGGAGACAGAGTTGTAGTGGAAGGGAGTTTCTCAAAATGGAGAACTGTGACCATTGGTGTTCCACAGGGATCCGTGTTGGGACCACTGTTGTTTGTGGTATACATAAATCATCTGAAGGAAGGTATAGATGGTCTGATTAGCAAGTTTGAAGATGACACTAAGATTGGTGGAGTAGCAGGTAGTGAAGGGGACTGTCGGAGAATGCAGCAGAATATAGATAGATTGGAGAGTTGGGCGGAGTGGCAGATGGACTTCAATCCAGGCAAATGCGAGGTGATGCATTTTGGAAGATCCAATTCAAGAGCGAACTATACGGTAAATGGAAAAGCCCTGGGTAAAATTGATGCACAGAGAGATCTGGGTGTTCAGGTCCATTGTACCTTGAAGGTGGCAACGTAGGTGGATAGAGTGGTCAAGAAGGCATACGGCATGCTTTCATTCATCGGACGGGGTATTGAGTACAAGAGTTGGCAGGTCATGTTACAGTTGTATAGGACTTTGGTTCGACCACATTTGGAATACTGCGTACGGTTCTGGTTGCCACATTACCAAAAGGATGTGGATGCTTTGGCGAGGGTGCAGAGAAGGTTCACCAGGATGTTGCCTGGTATGGAGGGTGCTAGCTATGAAGAGAGGTTGAGTAGATTAGGATTATTTACATAGAAAGACGGAGGCTGAGGGGGGACCTGATTGAGGTCTACCAAATCATGAGAGGTATAGACAGGATGGATCGCAAGAAGCTTTTTCCCAGAGTTGGGGACTCAATTACTAGGGGTCACGATTTCAAGGTGAGAGGGGAAAAGTTTAAGGGAGATATGTGTGGAAAGTTCTTTACGCAGAGGGTGGTGGGTGCCTGGAACGCGTTGCCAGCGGAGGTGGTAGAGGCGGCACGATAGCATCATTTAAGATGCATCTAGACAGATACATGAATGGGCAGGGAGCAGAGGGATACAGATCCTTGGAAAATAGGTGACAGGTTTAGATAGAGGATCTGGATCGGCGCAGGCTTGGAGGGCCAAAGGGCCTGTTCCTGTGCTGTAATTTTCTTTGTTCTTTGTTCTTGTTCTTAACATTTAAAATTGAATTTTTTAAATTGTATTCTTCTGTCATGCAAAGAATCAGGCAGATGGGAAGCTCTTAAGATATATAGAAGTTTCAATTGTGTCAGGAGCCAGAGGACCAAAAAGACTTCATATACATGTTGTGTATTTAAAGACATAACCAGCTATTTCTATTCTTACATACTTTAAACTCATGTTGCAATCCTCTGAAATCTCTTAAACAAGAAAACTCTCAATAAGTACGCTATCTTCAGTACCGTGTAGACCTCCATTCTGTAAAAACTAACCTTGCCTGATACCAGAGAAGACGTGAAAACTTTCAAAGATATGAGAAGGGCCTTAACAGCAGGAATAGTTTGTGTTACAAAACAACAAGGATTAAGTGTTATAGAACATTAAGCCTAGCAAAAGGTAAAACATTGAATATTTTTAAGCAATGAACAGAGAATAAATGAGCATGGCTATGCAAACATTTCAAATAAATCCACCTTTATTTTAAGGTTGACATGTTTTCATACGGAATGGTTTTGTACGAATTGCTGTCTGGGCGACGACCAGTCCTTGGACAACACCAGCTGCAGATTGCTAAAAAACTGTCAAAAGGAGTTCGGCCTTCCCTGGGAGCTCTGGAACAAGTGCAGTTCCATAGAATGCACAATCTGATGGTTGAGTGCTGGGATACAAAGCCTGAAAAGGTAAAGGACCACAGATAATGGGACAGGAAGGTGAAAGACCAACCATTTGTATTCATAACGTGTTGAAAACAGACTGAAGCACTGCATAGAATGTAGGAAAAAATACAGCAATAAACAAGGGAACAAAGGGCAAACCGGTTCTAATATCACAAATAGAAAGTTCACATCTCTGCAGCCAATTTCCTTTCCTCCCTCAGGCTTGCTGGTCAAATGACTAAAAACTTAAGATAAATATGACTTCAACCACTGTGGACTTTGGCTATACTCTTCCTTTTTGTATATTAATAGAAGCTTTTACTGTCTGTTATTTATATTTTGTTTCTTTCTTGCTACTTTAGCCTCATTCTAATTTCTGCTTTTGGTATTATTCATTTTGTTGTTGCTAGTTTTAAGATTTTCCCAAGCTTCTAGCTTATCACTAATCTTTGCAGTATTGCAGTATTCTTGCAATTTGATAATATTCTTAAGTTCTTAGATAGCTACAAATGGTGTGTTCTTCTTGGGCTCCTCAATGCAATATACCTTTATTTAGCATTATGAAATTTGTCCCCAAGTGTCTGTCACTGTTTTTCTACCATTATACTTTTTAACCTATTTTCCCAATCCACTGTAACCAACTGTTCAAACCTTTGCCATTGCCTTTTATGTAAGTTTAAGGCTCTAGTTTCAGACCCAAAAGTTTCCCATCCTCAAATTGAATGTATAAATCAACTGTGCTATGATCATTCTTGTCTAGAGAATCCTTGAGAATTAGATAATTAATCAAACCTGTCTTCTTACACATTACCAGCTGTAAAATAATCTGTCTGATGGTTGATTTCTCAGCATATTGTTCTAAGAAACTATCCCAACTGCTCATCTTCAAGGCTCCCTTTGTCGATTTGTTTTGTTCAATCTATATGAAGAATAAAATTACCCACAATTATTACAGAACTTTTCTTACAATTTTTTTTTGGTTTAAACTCTGTAATGGTGTAGTTTCTGTCAGGGGCCAATAAACTACCCCAGTGTATCACTTCCCTTGCTAATGCTTTTCACCACCCAAACCAATTTTACATCTTAATCTGCTGAGCCTAGCCCATTTTTCACTTCTCAACTAATCTCTTCTCTCATTAAACACATCCCCAACCCACTTCTTTTTCCTTTTGTTTTTCTTCCTATCTGTCCTGAATATCAGGTATCCTTGGATATTCATTCTTAAGCCTTAACCACATCTCTGTAACAACTTACATCATATCTATTTATTTCTATTAATTCATCTATCTTACTTAGAACCTAGGAGCAGGAATAGGCTATTTGGTCCCTCAAGCCTGCTCTCCCATTCAATATGATCATATTCCTGCTTTCTCTTCATACCCCTTGATGTCTTTAATATCCAAAAATGTATCAATCTCTTTCTTGAATATTCTCAGTGACGCAGCCTCCATAGCCTTCTGTGGCAGTGAATTTCACAGGTTGACCACCCTCAGTGAGCAAATGTTTCCTCATCTCAGTCCTAAATGGCGTACCTTGTATCCTGAATCTGTCACTCTTTGTTATGATTGCTGCTTGCATTCAAATAGAGATTCTTTAATTTTTTTTACATTTTTTTTCTTACTGTCACCTATTTTCTGGTGCACTGTCATGTTTGTATGCTGTATTGTTCCTGTCACGCTTTGCTTATCACTCTCTGGCACTATTGCGTGGGCCTTTCTCATTAACAATCTAACTCACTCCTCGAGAGCCAAGAGGTGAGGAACATGCATTTGAAGAAGGTCAGGGTTGAACAACAGAGCAGAGTGAGCATGAATGCCAGGGAGGGGTCAAAGTAAACACTAAAAGTATCGGGAGCAGAAGGGAAGGTGCTGATTGCTGAGGATTTTTATAAGTTATTAGTTTATTTTGAAGTTTTATTGAGCCTAATAAATAGAGGCATGACAAAGATCCTCTGTTTTGTAGAATGCACTTCTGTAACACAAGTCAGTTAGAGGAGCTTGACCTTAAGATTCAGAGGTTGAAGCCAGAGCTCAAGCAGGAGCTAGCATCACTGCAATACACTAGTGAGGCTGAGGGCTGAATGTAAAACACAACAGCCTAAGGGAATATAGGCAGAGAAGGAATGAGTGACCATCTGGCAAGTAGTGCAGGAGTTCTCTGAATGCATCTTGCTCTCTCATCTCAGCTCTGAATAAGGTGAGAATGATGATTGCACCTCAACTGACCTGGGACCAGTGCCCTGGCAGTGCTAAGTGCTATTGTGGGGGGGTTTAAACTAACTTGGACGGGGTATGGGAACCAGGAGAGTACAAAATATTACAGTGTTAATGAGTTGAGTGTAAGAGAGAATGCAATAAGGTCTAAGTTGAGTTTATTGGGGATGTACGTGAATGCAGAAAGTGGTAAATAAGTTGATGAGCTGCAGGTGCAAATAGCCATGTGGAAAACGATGTGGCGATAAGGGAGACTTAGCTGAAAAAAAAACAATATGACTGGGGATTAAATATTCCTGGATTCCCATTGCTCAAAAAAGAGAAAGAAAGGGAGAGGAACAGCATAATCATTAAGGAGAGTATCAGTGTGGAGATAGCAAATGTCCTAGAAGTATCGTCAAGGACATAATCTATTTGGTTAGAGCAAAGAAACTGTTGAGGCAACATCATGTTACTTGTTGTATTATACAGATCATCAGTTAGTGGGAAATGTATACTTGAACAAATTTGCAAGGAAATTGTCATTGCAAAAGCTATAGCAACTTTAATCAAAGACTTTAATTATCCTAATACGGACTGGGCTAGCAAAGAGTATAAAGCCCAGAGAGGGGGAAGTATTTCTCAAGTATATTCAGCAAAATTTTCTAGTTGAGTATGTTTTGGCCTAATGAGGAGGGAGAATCCGCTGGTCCTGATCCTTGAGAATGATTTGGAAAGAATAGATCAGATTTCATTTCAAGGACTTTTGGCAGACTGTGATCATCGTATTATTAGGTTTAAATACAACTATAGAAAAGAACAAGGAGCAATCTGGAGTAAGGATTAACAGGGGAAAGACCAATTTAGATGGGTGTGGGGAGAACAGATCTGGCTCTGGCAAGTTTGAGTCAAAGATCGGTGGCAAACTGTAATTGAACAGCAGAGGAGGTGGTTCAAATTCAGTCATGGTACATTCCCATGAGGAGAAAGGTAATGCAGGCAAACAAAGAATTCCCTAGAGAAGCAGACAGTAAGATGAAGCAGAAAAAGGGTGTGTCTGACGGATGTCAGATTGATCATGCAAGTGAGAAGCAAGCTAAATGTGTGAAGTTCAAAGAGGAAGTGAGGGGAAAAAAAAGCAAAGCATCAAAGGAGTTGAAAAGAGATTGGCAGCTAGGAAATATAAGGAAATTCAATGGTCTGTTACTGGCATGTAAAGAGTAAGAAGGTGACAAAAAGAGGAATGGGACCAAGTAGGAACCAAAAGCAGGCACATGCTGTGGTAAATCAATTTGTTAAAGGTTTTTGATATGGTGATAGAATTGGTTAATGAAGTTGATAGAGTTAATGTGATGGACTTCTAAAAGGACCTTGATAAATGCCATATAACAGAGATTGAAGAAAGCATGGCTGAGGTAACATAAGAATATAGAAAATAGGTACAGCAGTATGCCTGTAAAACCCTTTGAGCTTCCACCACCATCCAATATGATGAAGAGTGATCATGTAATTTCAGTGTCCCATTCCCACGTTCTCTCCATACCACTTGATCTCTTTAGCTGCAAGGTCCACATTCATCTCCCTCTTGAATATATCTAACAAACTGACTCCAACAGCTTTCTGTGGTAGAGAATTCCACAGGTTCACAACTGAGTGAAGAAATTCTTCCTCATCTCGGCCCTGAATGGCTTACATTTTAGTTGTGTTTTGCACTGAAAGAAAGGCCCAGGATATGACAGACTTCAGTAAGATACAGGCTGATGGAGTGCTTGGATGGGTGCCAGATAAATTTTAATGCAGAGAAATGTGTAGTGATTTTAATTTGGTCAGAAGAATGAGGAAATGGAATGTACAAGGAAAGGTAAAATTCCAAAGAGCAGAGCAGAGCGACCACAAATCACTGAAGCTAGCAGGGCAGGTCAAGAAAATAGCTCAGAGGGTATACAGGATCCTGGGCTTTATAAATAGTTTCAGAAAATGAAAGCAGAGAAGTTATGGAGAACCTTTTCAAAACACTAGTTAAGTCACAACTGGAGCCGGTCTCATTACCACTCTTTAAGGAGAGTGTGAAGGAATTAGAGATGATTCAGAAAAGCTTCACAATAGTTCTGGGTTTAAGGGACATCAGTTGTGTGATATATTTGAGAACCTAAAGCTTGTCACCATGGAAAGGTGAGGTCTGAGAGATTTGATTTAGTGTCAAAACTCATGAGGATTTTGGGAAGGGTAGATAGTTTTATTTGGGTGATAGTTCCCGATTTGTTGTGATCTTGGGTGAGGAGTGAGTAACTGGCTTGCATTCTTCATTCAGTCAAACCCCGACCCCCCAAAGTTGATCACAACAAGGTCAACTTAAAACAAAGCATCCCTTCCCTCGTTGATACCTTCCCCAGTTCCAACGTATTTATATTTTAAAAAGGCCACTTTAACCAGATTTTCTTGAGTTAAACAGAGTGAGCTTATCAGTTATTAATATAACGAGGAAAAGTAAAATACACCTCATGCACATAGATCAGCAATGAGGATGTAAAAAGGTGATAAATTGTAGTTTGATAGTACAGAACTTGAATATTCTTAAGGAATATACATACTTTATTCAGGCTTTTCATTTTGTACTCATCTTGACAATTCGCAATACCAATTAAAGGGGAAAAGCAAAGTTTACACTGAATGAGAATAGCGTGCTGATGAGTTGGCAAGTGGACTTTGATTGGTAGAGACTTTGTTCTGGAGATGGCACCAATTAATGATGATTGACGGTTAACTGCCAAGCTTTGTCAACACACTATCTGTTCCAACTCAACAAAATAAGAGTCATTTACTAGTTCATTTCTCAGGATTAATGCCCTGAACAATCAGTCATTCTGCCTGGTTTTTAAATTTAAATAACGTTTAGCTGTCAATCAGCACGAAATGGTGCATTCATCATTGCCACACAACCAGCACACACTATTTGGGCAGTATGTTTGGACGGCACGGTGGCTCAGTGGTTAGCGCTGCTGCCTCACAGCACCGTGGACCCGTGTTTGATTCCACCCTCAGATGATTGTCTGTCTGTGTGGAGCTTGCACGTTCTCCCCGTGTCTGCGTGGGTTTCCTCCGGGTGCTCTGGTTTCCTCCCACAGTCCGAAGATGTGCCGGCTTGGTGGATTGGCCATGCTAAATTGCCCGTAGTGTTCCGGGGTGTGTAGCTTTGGTGGGTTATAGGCGGATGGGTCTGGGTGGGATGCTCTGAGGGTCAGTATGACTTGTTGGGCCAAAGGGTCTGTTTCCACACTGTAGGGGTTCTATGATCTGTTCTATGATCTATAAGTGCTATTTTTCCCGTTGAATTGGTATTCTTGCGAATTACCCTGATGAGTGCAGGACAAAAAGCATTACCAAAATGTGTCTTTCTTTCAACATCTTTGTTCTAGCAACAATTTTTTTTTAAATATATGAATCAATCTTGGTGGTCCATGTGGAGAATATAGTGGAACGTTGTGGCCATTAGGTTTGGTGATTCTGATACAGTTGATTTGAAGATTCTGGGTTCAGTAGATTCTCTGAGAGACACGAGGATTCCTGTTCAAGTATCGCTTTTGACTGGTGATTTGCTCTGAGCAATCAGGGAGAGAGTGTGTGTGGCAAGAGGGTAGTTTCCATCCTTTTCCCGTAAGTGCATGGGGGTCTAATAAACCTAGTAGATAGACATTAGCTGTAACCTTCACAGCACACACCAGGCCTTTAGCACTAAACTGCCAGACTAGTGCACGCGCACACAAACCAAAGGTGCAGTTGGTTTTGAGCCCTTTCTGTTGGGTATTCATAGTAGGGGAGAAAGCAGCCATGTCTTTTGCTGAGGCTGATTTCTTTACTTCATATTATGCCCATCATCTGGGGAACTAACTCACTCACAGGAGATGGTTCAGTTTTGTGCATTGTATCTCTTAAATTGTTTCTTTGAATCATAGAATCCCTACAATGTGGAAACAGGCCATTCAGCCCAACAAGTCCACACCGAGCATCCCACCCAGACTCACCTCCCTACGCTATCCCCGTAACTCTACACTTCCCATGGCTAATCCACCTAACCTACATAGGCTTGGACACTATGGGCAGTTTAGCATGGCTGACCCACCTAACCTGCGCATCTTTGGACTGTGGGAGGGAGCCAGAACACCTGGAGGAAACCCGTGCTGATACAGGAAGAATGTGCAAACTCCACACAGACAGTCAACCAAGGCTGGAATCGAACCCAGACCCCTGGCTCTGTGAGGCACCAGTGCTAAACACTGAGCCACCGCGCTGCCCCTGAAATCCTTTGGCACACTTCGAGATGCAAAATTTCAGGCTCTCTCTCAGGGTGAAAGTAAATCACACGAGTTTTCTAGACAAATGACATTACATTCTCAGCCATCTGTGGCTTGTAAATCTTTTTAAAAACAACGATACCTGTTTTACATAAGTTCAATTTATCTGTAAATAATTTGTGGCTATGATCCATTGCCTTACTAATTGAAATAAATGTCCAAATAGTGAAAGGGTCATCCTAGGGGCCACTTGAGGAAAGGCTTTCTTCTTTCCTGATTAGGATCTGGAATGCACTGTCTGAGAGGATGGTGGAAGCAAATTCAGTCATGGCTTTCAAAAGAGAGCTTGATAATTATCTGAAGAGAAATTTACAGGACAAAGGGAAGAAAGCTGGGGTGCAGGAGTAGCTGAGTTGACCTTACAGAAAGCTTGTATATATACATGATGAATCTGCCCCATTCTGTGCTGTAACCCTAATATTCTATATGATTAGAAAGGAGTATGTAAAAGAGAGAGAGAAAGCCACACTGGAGTATAAATGGAAGGACAGGGATAGGGATACAGAAAAATAGGAGAAAGAGGGTGGTGAAAAAGCAATTTGATAAAGAAACTCCTGCCCCACCGAACTTATCTCCACCCTCCTGCCCCACTGAACTTATCTCCACCAACCATCCACAACCTCATCACCTCAGGTGACCTCCCACCCACCGCCTCCAACCTCATCATTCCCCAACCCTGCACTGCCCGCTTCTATCTCCTTCCCAAACTCCACAAACCTGAATGCCCTGGTCGACCCATTGTCTCCGCCTGCTCCTGCCCCACCGAATTTATCTCCACCTATCTCAACTCCATTTTCTCCCCCTTGGTCCAGGAACTCCCTACCTACGTCCGTGACACCACCCACGCCCTCCACCTCCTCCAAAACTTCCAATTCCCCGGTCCCCAACACCTCATCTTTACCATGGACGTCCAGTCCCTATACACCTGCATTCCCCATACAGATGGTCTAAAGGCCCTCCGCTTCTTCCTGTCCCGCAGGCCCGACCAGTCCCCCTCCACTGACACCCTCATCCGCTTAGCCGAACTCGTCCTCACCCTCAACAACTTCTCTTTCAATTCCTCCCACTTCCTACAGACAAAGGGGGTGGCCATGGGTACCCGCATAGGCCCTAGCTATGCCTGCCTCTTTGTAGGTTACGTGGAACAATCCCTCTTCTGTACCTACACTGGCCCTAAACCCCACCTCTTCCTCCATTACATTGATGACTGTATCGGCGTCGCCTTGTGCTCCCACCTACACTCACCTTTACTGGCTCCATCCCCGCCTCTTTGACCTGTCTGTCTCCTCTCCACCTATCTTCTTCTCTATCCATCTTCTATCCGCCTCCCCTTTTTCCCTCTTTATTTCAGAACCCCCTTCCCCTCCCGCATTTCTGAAGAAGGGTCTAGGCCCGAGACGTCAGCCTTCCTGCTCCTCTGATGCTGCTTGGCCTGCTGTGTTCATCCAGCTGTACACCTTGTTATCCCTTGATAAAGAAACATATTGTTTAGCTCTGTGACAATCGCATGATGAGGGTTTAGACTTCCATCCTTCACTGCAATGGATTCTGTCTTAATATCCTGACCCCATTCTTCAGGTCAAGGCTCAGAAATGACTCAGGATGATTCCATGACATCTGTTTCTGCAGCCACTCCATTTGTTTCAGGTCAGTCTAGCAGAAAAAACGTCCAGACTAGATTGTTTACTTTCAAACAAGCGATACTTACTTGTGATTTATGATTTTACTTTGACCACTGTCTGTGCAAAGTAAACTCTCTCATATTGTGTTTCTCATGTTAATTGTCTAGAGACCAGGAGCAGGCACTGCCCTCAGACTGATGCAGGATCCCAGTTTTCCAGCCTTCATGTACATGCTGCGGTGTGGTGAGCAAAGCTCATTCTGTCCTTCTCAAGAACTCGAGCGAACTGTCATTTTCTGGGATGAAGAAGGAAATGACAGGTACAGTTCTGCCACCTCAGTGCAACTTAGCAGAAGATCAGTCACTGCTATCTGAATCAATATGAAAAGGCTCAACTTTCACCATAGGGATTTCCTCTCCTCCTCCCCACCCCAAAAAGGGAAACTGGTCAGAGGATCATATTCTCGTGACATTCTTTGGGATAGCCTAGTACATGAATCTTAGCAGGTGAAGAATGGGAACAGCAGGTCTTGAATAAATGCAAAAAGAGCCCTATTAAATGGCCCTGATATTGGGAGGACTGCTAATGTATTGAGTGGCTTGAGCCTTGGCCATAGGATCATACTCAATGGCTTTAGCCTAGTTCTTGATTGTCTTGGAAAGATGTGGTGTTGCCCTTGTTCTATGTGTATCCTGCTTGGTGCAAGACACAAGTTTCTTGCAGCTTTTGTGGATGAGGCTTCTGTAGGGATAATGAGCAAACTGACAACAGCACCTTGGGAAAGAAGGTCATTCAGAGAACATAGCAGTGGTGGGCAATTATATGGTTAGAGCAATAGATAATGTTCATTGCAGCCAAGAAGGTGAGTCCCAAAGACTGTGTTGCTTACCCAGTACAGGTCTGACCCAGTACCCAGGTCAGACTTGAAGAGCATCTTCGATTGGGAGGGGAAGGAGTCTTCTGTCATGATCCGTGTGTCATCACCAGCAGAATTAGAGCAAGGAAGGAGGTTCTGCTAAAGGAGCATGAGCAGGTAGGGGCTAAATTTAAAAGAAAACAGGGCACAAAGATAATAATATCTGGAGCAATTTGGCACAGGGTGAATAAGATCAGAGTGGGAGAAATGGGTTTCAATTCATGCAGCACTGGACAAAGAAGAAGCTGTTCTGTTGGGATAAGGTGCACTTAAGTTGTGCCGGGACCTGTGTCCTGTCAAATTCAATAATTAGGGCTTTAGATAAGACTTTAAATTAAATAGTGGGAAGGTAAATTCAAGTGAGGGGAAACTTAGAAAGTTAGAGAGAAGATGGGGCAATAGTCCACTGTAGCGATATGGGTAATGGTAACCAGAGATTAAAATTTACATTATATATCCCTTCGTTTTTATATATAAGCGTAGACAAAGGACTGCTCAAAGAGGTTCGCATCAGCTGCCCTAGAATTAAGCTGAACTGTCAGTTGAAAGGGTGTTGTGGATTGCAACAGAGATAACCAGACAAGAAAGAACACTGTATGAAAATAAAGGTATAACAAAAAATAGGATTAGAAGGAGAATAAAATTAAACCCTATTTATCTAAATGCACAAAGCATTTGTAACTAGATGGATAATTTTTAAATCTCTATTTGTGGGATCTGAATGTCTCTGGCTAAGCCAGTATTTATTGCCCAGCCCTAAATGCCCTGAAGAAGGGGACGATGAGCTACCTTCTTGAAACACTGCCATCCTTGGGATGTAGGAATACCCACAATACTGTTTGGAAGGAGGTCCAGGATCTTAACTCAGCAGCAGAAGGACAGTGATACCGGAACTGATGGCACAAATAAAAATTAATGGATATAATCTGATAACTGTTAGACAGCAGTGGTTTCCGAACAGCCAAGGCTCGAGGCTAAATGCTCAAGCTGCAGATGGTTCTCTGAAGAAGAGTCTAATATGACTCAACTTGTCACATCTCTCCACATGTCTGCTTGGCCTGCTGAGTTTCTTCAGCAATTGCTGTTTTTACTACAAACGTTCACATATATTTGACATGTCAGAAAGATATGTGAAAAAGAAAAGAAGGAAGGGTTTTCTGTTGTTAAAGGATAAAATCAGTAAAATACTGAGAAATGATGTAGGCTCAATCAAGATGTGGAATCTGCTTCCAATGTCCCTGGATTCCCTGACATGTCAAAATTTCACTTGAGCATCCATAACCCCCTTGGATAGAGAATTCCACTGATTTCACCACCTTTTGAGTGGAGTAATTTCCCCTGATCTTGTCCAAAATGAATGGCCCCTTCTTGTTCTCTCTGTATTCTAGATTGCGTGAAACAACACAAACAACCTCCCTGTATCTACTCTATCAAGCCCATTCAGAATCTTGCATGTCTCAATAAGATCACCTCTGATTCTTCTAAACACCGAAGAATATAGACCCAAATTACACAGCATCTTATGATAGACAATCCCTGTCATCCCAGGGACCAATCTAATGAACCTTTTTCAAATTTTGTTTCTTCACTACACATAGGAATTACAGTGTGGTAAATATAGACAAAGGACTGATTGAAGTGGATCACATCAGCTGCCCTGGAATTCGGCTGAGCTGTCAGCTAAAGCTACAGAGTGCATTATGGACAGCAACCGTGGTGAGTGATGTGTCTAGGCCTCAAAGCCAGGGCATATACCAGAACTCAGACACGGGCAAAAATTATTCCTGCTTCTTCATACCACGTAAAGTTGGATAATATACTGACATTTACACTTCTCCATCTGCAATGTTTTTGTTATTTCAGTTTGCTATTGGATATCTGAGAGCATAAGATTTAGAGTAGGAGCAAAATATATGGCCATTCATGCTGCTTCACCATTCAGTAAGATCATGGCTGATGGTCAGCCTCAACTCCACCTTCCTGCCAGATCCCTATATCCTTCGATTCCCTTAGAATTCAACTCTATCAGTCTGTGCCTTGAACATATTCAGTCACTGAGGTTCCACAGTCCTCTGGGGTGGAAAGTTCTAAAGATTCACTACCCTCTGAATGAAGAAGTTCTCCCTGTCTCGAGTCTAAAGCGATTGATCCCTTAATTCTGAATCTTTGTCCCTCCAGAAATATCTCTCAGTATCTATCTAGTAAAAAACCCTCAAAGTTTTGTGTATTTCAGTAAGACCACTTGTCATTCTTCTAAACTCCAGACTAAATTGGCCCATTCATTCAATCTTTTCTCATGGGACACCCCTCACATCCCAGGAGTCAGTCTAAAGAATCTTGGTTGTATCGCTTAAAGGAAAGTATGTTCATTCTTAGATAAGGACATCAAAACTGTTCACAGTACTCTCATCACGGACTAGTAGAATTAAGGTATGACTTACTTACTATTTTCTCCAACCTCGTTGCAAAAAAGGCGAACGTATTATTTACTTTCCTAATTCATGTCTGTCCATGTTTACTTACTGCTTTGTGTATAAGAATGTCCAAATCCTTCTAAACATAACTGTTTTTTGAAAATATTCTGTTTTCCTATCCTTCCTACAAAGGTAAATAACCTCCCATTGTATTACCAACTCTCATCATCTATCTATATCTCTTTGAAGACTCTTTATCCTGGATTTCAAATGAGTCATGGAGGCTCCGCAAATCTTCCAAAATGAATCCAGAAATTCCAGCATTTTCAATTGATCCCATTATTGGCAGTAGTAAAATGGCAGCAGGCAGTCCTTATACATAAGGGAACCCAATGCTGTGTAGCAAGGGGCCTTAACCCACAATGTAAGAGTTACATTTTTTTAGCTGTTGTAAACGTATCTTGAAAGGCTCTTGTTGTACAAATAAGGTCTTTAGAACTGTCAAGTTATAATGTTATTTAAATCCTCAGCCCAGACTGCCTGTGCCAATGAGTATTGAAAAATATCTATTCTAGCAATTACAATAACTGTTGACTTAAATTAAAGTGTTATTACTGTAGCATAATTACTGCTTGATTGGTTTTCGTAACCTATTGTTATCACATTGTGTATTGTGAGTTCACAGTTTGACAACTCGGAGGTTTTAAACATTAATTTCTTTATGGGATTATGAATACTTTTATTTATATGTGAGGTGATTTAAAAGTATTTAATTTGTGTGAATGACATGGTTCTTAATACAGTGAAATCTCTTATAGATATGTTAGGCAAGGTTATGAGTGAAGCGCTGGTTTAGGTTTTCTCAGTGTGGACATGATGGGCTGAAGGCCGTCTTCTGTACTGTAAAATTCTATGATTCCACGCTCTGCTTTTGGCCTAACTCCTGTTTAACTTTGTTTTCTTCTGGTAGGATCAGAAAATTCAGGTTTACAGCCTTAAAGGAATGTGTCCCTTAAATGTGCCTCTCCGAGTACTGGATGTTCCTGCCGTTGTGACATGTTTCGTACCAGTATCACGTGGAAACCAGGTAACAGCAGGAAAACATTAGGCCCACATACCTGTCCGGATTAATCTCAGCCACAAAAAAAACTTCTCTAATTCTTTATTTCTAGAAACACATTGTCTGTTCAGTGGTTGTTTCGATGAGCTTTCCCAAAATCCTTTGCTCTGTAAACAATAGTTCAATATTTATTTTTCCTCACTTCTTAATTATTGACTCTGCTTTTTTTAAATTTCTTCATGAACCTTGAGAACTTCAGTAAAATCCCTATAAAGTATATATTCCAAAGGGAACTAATTGAACATTCATAAATTTTCCTAATAACAACGTTGCTTCAAGAACATTGAACAGAAACAAGCCCTTCGGCACACCATGTCTATGCTGACCATGATGCCATTCTAAACTAATCCCATCTCCCTGCCCTACCCTCATCAATCATTTTCATCACTTCCTCAAAATAATCAGTCAAGTTTGTGAGACAAGACCTTCCCTGCATAAATCCATGCTGACTATCCCTAAAAAGTCCATTCTTCTCCAAATGTGAGTGAGTCCTGTCCCTAAGAATCTTCTCTAATAATTTCCCCACCACTGATGTAATGCTCACCGGTGTATAATTTCCTGGATTATTCCTGTTGGCCTTTTTAAACAAAGAAACAATACTGGCTATTCTCCAGTCTTCTGGGACCTTGCTTGTGGCCTTGGGGACTTATCTACCTTAATATCTTTCAAGAATCCCGAATCTGAAAAGTAATCTTGTGCTTCCTATGATAAATTGACTGGATTGCTGCAGAAGTAATGACTTGATCATACAGGGCCTTTTCTTCGGCACAATCAAAAATGTATCAGAACGAAGTTGCTCAGAGTTCTTCAATGCCAATATCTGCTTCTACTTCCTTCCCAGGATCTACAAACCAGACTCTGCCAATTGCCCCACTGTTTCAGCCTACCTGCCCCACTAAACCTCTTTCTTACTATTTCAACACCATTTATCCTTCCGTTGTCCAGTCTTTTGTGATGCACGTTCCCAACTCTTCTGATACCCCATGTCACTTCAACAGTTTCCAGTTCCCAGGCCCTAACTACTTCCTCTTCTCTATAGCTGTCCAATTTTTCAGTCCTACTACCTCCTGCTGTCACCCTGAACTAGAAAATTTCACTGTGTTTCTAATTTGCACCCATCCTACACCTTCACCTTACCCACCTCTGACGCTTCCATTCTTTGCTTTCTCTGTCTAAATATCTGGGGCTAGGCTATCAAATATTGACTGTACTTCCTCACACCCTTCTTCCTAATAAAGACTCAATTCCATTTGCCCAGTTTCCCCGCCTCTGTTGCATCTGTTCTAATGATGCAATCTTCCATATGTGTGTTCTGGCATGTTTTCTTTTATTCCTCAACATGGGATTCCTAGTTGCCAGATTGGCAGTGCTTTCCATTGTATCTGATTCATTTCATGCATCTCAACCTTTTTCCCTCCCTCCTAGAACCATGACAGGGTAACCTTTGTTTGCACCTTCTATCCCAGCAGCCACCATATTCAATAGATCATCTTCTGCCATTTCCACCAGCTCTAATTTAATGCAACCACTAAGAAAATCTTCCTCTGACGTCACAGCATTCACAGCAACACCTTAGCCCACTCCCTAACTCTTCCCTAAGGCAGCTTTCCATGGAGATGCCTTGGGCAGGACGGTGGCTCAGTGGTTAGCAATGCTACCTCACAGCACCAGGGACCCGGGTTCATTTCCAGCCTCTGGTAACGGTTGGAGCTGGACTTAATGCACCGAATGGCCTGCTTCGGCGCTGTAGGGATTCTGTGATTCTACCAACCCTTTCAGCTGTTCCCTTTCCACTGTCCAAGGACCCAAGAAGTCTTCCCAAGTGAAATAGTAATTCAGTTGTACTGTATTCAATTTAATGTACTGTATTCACTGTCTAAAATGTGTTTTCCTTTACCTTAGGGACATCAAGTGCAGACTGGGTGACCGTTTTGTGAAGAACCTCCACTGAGTCCACAAGTACAACCCTGAGCTTTCAGTTGCATGTCACTTCAGTTCTCCACCTTTCACCCAGTCTGACCTTTCTGTCCTCAACCTGGTTAGTGCTGCTGCCTCACGGCACCAGGGAGCTGGGTTGATTCCAGCCTTGTGCAGCTGTGTGAAGTTTGAATGTTCTCTCTGTGTCTGTGCGCGTTTCCTCCAGTGCTCCGGTTTCCTTCCACAATCCAAAGATGTGCAGGTTAGGTGGATTGGCTCTGGTAAATTGCCCCTTGGTATCCAGGGATGTGCAAGCTATGTGGATTAGCTATTGTAATGGGGATAGGTTATGGGGATAGGATAGGCAGAGTGGATCTGGGTGGGATGTTCTTCAGAAGGCCAGTGATTCTCGATGGGCTGAATGGCCTCTTTTCGCACTGTAGGGATTCTATGATTCATTCATTTTGTTTCTGTCCAGATGCTGTTTGACCTGTTGAGTTTTTTCAGTTTGTTTTGTTCTTATTACAGACAAGTTTAACCTCTGTTGTTTCATAGGCAGCTGTAGCCACCAATCTGAACATGCCACAAACAAATGAGATGAATAATCAGCTAATCAGATATTGATTAACATCAAAGTTCTCCTATCCAAAAAGAAGCTGCCTTGAATTAAAGTTTGGAGGAGGATGTGGGGGTTCCGGTAGGGGTTGGTCGGGTGTGTTATTTTAACTCGGGAAGAAATGTTACTGACCATCACCTGATGTTTTGAAGCTGAGCATGTGGCCTCCTGGCTGCCTTTCCAGCCCTGCAACTTCTCCCCTATTTCATGGGGTGCTGTGCAGGCATTGGGCAGTCTGCATGCTCTAGCCCTCTTGACGTCATTGAATGGCCAATTAATGACTGCTTAAGTACCTCATCCTGCTTCTGCAGCTATTTTACCAACGACTGGGAAGGCCCACATTAGGTGGGAATCCAGCAGCCTTCTCGGTGAGAGGAGAAATGGAACATCCTTTTGTAGGATCTGTGCCTAACAGACACAAACCCCTCAAGATCATGCCCCCCAATCTTACTCTACTCCCAGACTCCTAAAGTCCAGTCACTGAGCACCCTGCACCTGGGCCTGCTAGGTAGCAGGCTGATACCTAGATTTATCTGAAAACAGCATCCCTAAGCTTCAGGTTCTGATCCTGCAGTGGCTACTGCTTGAACTATGTGCTGCTGGGATTATCTGGCAGATTTCTAAGACAGGATTTCCTGTGGAGATGTGGGCAGAGATTTTGACCTTAGTCTGTTAGCACCCTATGAATGATAATTGGCTCTAGCTCAGGCTGAGTCAGTAGGGATTCATCCTCCATCGATTCTTTGGGTGGAAAATCTTAGCATAGGATAAAACCTGCAATCATCCCCATTGTTCTGGTTGGATTGCACTTCATGGACTGAGCCCAAATAATTGGGAGATGGAGTGGGAGAAAGGAACATGAGGAAGAGGCACAATAAATCCAAGATCTGGGAGACCAGGACCAGAAATTCCAAATGTTACTTTTAATTTTCTTTATTATTTAAATGATGTATCTATTGCATATTAGAACTCTCATCAAATGTGACATTTCCACTAAAAAGACACAAATCTCGATGGGAAAATCAATTAAGAGAGTGTCAACATTTACTTCAAGTACCGGTTACACCTGTAAAAGGCACTTTGATACAAGTTTACAATGTTAAAAGTCCTTTTAGACCATAAGATATAGAGGCAGAAATTAGACCATTCGATCCATCACGTCTGCTCTACCATTCAGTCACAGCTGGTAAGTTTCTCAACCCCATTGTCCCTTCTTCTCCCTCAACAATCCCCTCAACAATCAAGAACCTGTCTATTTTTGTCTTAAATATACTCAATGACCTGGCCTCCACAGCCTTCTGTCGCAATGAATTCCATAGATTCACCACTGTTTGGCTGAAGAAGTTTCTCCTCATCTCCGTTCTAAAGGATCTTCCCTTTGCTCGAAGGCTGTGCCCTCGGGTTCTAGTCTCTCCTGCTAATGGAAACAGCTTCCCAACATCCACTGTAAGTTTCAATTAGAGTTCCCCCTCATCTTTCTAAACGGCATCGAGTGTAGACCCAGAGTCCTCAAACGTTCCTCATATGTTAAGCTTTTCATTCCTGGGATCATTCTCGTGAACCTCGTCTGGATCCACTCCAGGGCCAGTACATCCCTCCTGAGATATGGGGCCCAAAATTGTTCACAATATTCTAAATGTGGCCTGACCAGAGCCTTATAAAGCCTCATTAGTACATCCCTGCTTTTATATTCTACACCTCTCGAAATAAATGCCAACATAGTATTTGCCTTCCTAACTACTGACTCAACCTGCAGGTTAATCTTAAGAGAATTCTGGACTAGGACACCCAAGTCCCTTTGTACTTCAGATTTCTGAATTTTCTCCCCATTTAGAAAATAGTCTATGCCTCGGTTTGTCCTGTCAAGGTGCATGACCTCACACTTTCCCATGTTGTACTCCATCTGCCACTTCTTTGCCCACTCTCCTAACCTGTCCAAATCCTTCTGCAGCCTCTCCGCCAACTCAATCCCTCCACGCATCTTTGTACCATCTGCAAACTTAGCCAAAATGCTATCAGTTCCTTCATCTGGATCATTAATGTATAAAGTGAAAAGTTATGATTCCAACACTGACCTTTGTGGAACACCACTTGGCTGCCATCCTGAAAAAGACCCCTTTACCCCCCCACTCTCTGCTTTCTGCCAGATAGCCAATCCTCTATCCATGCTAGTACCTGGCCTCCAACACCATGGGCCCTTATCTTATTCAGCAGCCTCCTGTGTGGCACCTTGTCAAAGGCCTTCTGGAAGTCCAAGTATATAACATCCATTGGCTCTCCTTTGTCTAACCTGCTGTTTACCTCCTCAAAGAATTATAACAGATTTGTCATGCATGACCTCCCCTTGATGAAACCATACTGACTTTGCCCTATTTTACCATGCACTTCTAAGTATTCGGAAATCTCATTCTTCACTATGGACTGGAAAATCTTACCAACAACCAAGGTCAGGCTAATCGGCCTGTAATTTCCCATCTTTTGCCTTACTCCCTTCTTAAACGAGGGGGGGTTATATTAGCGATTTTTCCAGTCCTCTGGGACTCTCCCTGGCTCCACTGATTCATGAAAGATCACCACTAACGCCTCCACTATCTCTTCAACAATCTCCTTCAGAACTCTAAGGTGTAGTCCATCTGGGTCCAGGTGGTTTATCCACCATCAGACCTTTCAGTTCTTCTAGCACCTTCTCCTTAATGACAGCCAGCAGCCACACCTCTGCTCCCTAACACTCTTGAATTTTTGGGATGTTACTCATGTCTTCCACCATGAAGATTGACGCAAAGTACTTGTTCAGATCCTCCGCCATTTCTTTGTTCCCCATTTCTACTTCTCCAGTGTCTTTTTCCAGCAGCCCAATGTCCACTTTTGCCTCTCTTTTGCCCTTTATATATTTAAAGAAACTCTTACAATCTTATTTTATATTACTGGCTAACTTACCTTCGTATTTAATCTTCTCCCTCCTTATTTCTTTTTTAGTTGTCCTCTGTTGGTCCAGTCCCCTGGCTTCCCACTGCCCTTCGCTACATTGTATGCTTTCTCTTTTGCTTTTATGATATCCCTGACTTACCTTGTCAGCCATGGTTGCCTCATTCTCCCTATAGTATGCTTCCTTTTCCTAGGGATAAATTTTTGCTATGTCTCCCGAATTATTCCCAGAAAATCCCGCCATTGCTGTTCCACTGTCCTCCCTGCTAGGCTCCTCTCCCAGTCAATTCTGCCCAGTTCCTCCCTCATGCCTCTGTAGTTACCTTTAATAGTTACCTGTAATACCGTTAGATCTGATTCTGTCTTTTCCCTCTCAGAATTTACTCTGCAATTTATCATATTAAGATCACTGCCTCCTAAGGGTTCCTTCACCTTCTGCTCCCTTATCGAGTCTGCCTCATTGCCCATCACTAAATCCAGAATTGCCTGTTCCCTAATGGGCTCTACCACAAGCTGCTCCAAAAAGCCATTTCTTACACATTCCACAAATTCCTTTACTTGCAATCCACTGCCAACCTGATTTCCCCAGTTCACTTGTATATTGAAATCTCCCATGATCACTGTAACCTTCCCTTTCTTACACGCCTTTTCTATCGCCTGGTGTATCTTGTGCCTGACATCCTGACTCCTGTTTGGAGGCCTGTACGTAACTCCCATTATGGTTTCTTTTACCTTTTTGTAGTTCCTCAATTCTACGTACAAAGATTCTACATCATCTGACCCTACGTCGTTTCTTGCTATTGATTTAATTTCATTTCTTACTAATAAGGCAACCCCACCTCGTCTGCCCACCTGTCTGTCTTTTTGACAGGATGCATATCCTTGGATATTTAGCTCCCAGTCTGATCCATTTGCAGGCACGTCTCCATGATGCCCACCACATCATACCTGCCAATTTCAGTCTGCGCCACAAGCTCATTTACCTTATTCCTGTATTGTGTGCTTTCAGATACAATATCTTCAGTCCTGTATTTACTGTGCCTCTTCTCATTGCCATTCCTTTATCCGATGTGCTCTGTCCTGTTCCTGGAGTCTTCAATAACTTAACCTGAGTTCTCCTTTCTTTTCATTTTTTTTTCATGCTTTTTCATGCAGTTGAATTCACCCCCACAGATGATAACTTACTGCTTTGTTTCTCATTGGCCATTGTATCTCTTGGAGTTTTCCCAACCCCTTCCACTTTCTAGTTTAAAGTCCTGTTGACCACTCTATTTACCTGTTTCTGCTAGAACATTGGTCCCAGCTTAATTCAGGTGTAGACCGTCTCAGCGGTACAGATCCCTCCTGTTCCAATACAGAAGCCAGTGCCCCATGAAATGGAAGCCCCTTTCTTACATCACTCCTATAGCAACGTGTTTACTTCCCTTATTCTTGCGTCCCAATTTGCATGTGACTCAGGTAGTAATCTGGAGACTATAATCCTTGAGGACCTGTTTTTTAAATTTTAGTTCCTAGTTCCTGATAATCCCCAAACAGGTCCTCTTGCCTATGTCGTTGGTCCTGAACCACAAAAACTGGTTCTTGCCCCTCCCTCTCCAATATCCTTTTAAGCCGGTCAGAGGAGTCCCTCATCCTGGCACCTAGCAAGCAACATACAATGCGGGACTCTCAATCCTGTTTACAAAAGATCATATCTATTCCTCTAACAATAGAATCCCCTTACGTGAGCTGTCATTCTCCTTGGTCACTAGTTAGCAGCACAAGAATGTGAGAAATCTAATCAAAGATCATGTCTCCCATACACCCACCGAGAAAGGTGAAGAGTTTTTATTCCCTTCATGCCCCAAGCCCTGTGCTCCAACATGGCTGTTCAGGCCCAGCAGATTTCACAATCCTATCCCGTGCCTAACAGTCTTTCAGATGTAATTCCATTCACATCAATAGTGTCAACCTTTGGAACAACAGTTAATCTTTACTGATCCCCCAAATCACCATCTTCCCAAGTGAGCATTCTTTAGAAAAGGTACTTGCACCTTCTACAGAATGCCCTGCAGCTTCAGGAGATTGTCAGACCCTGCACAAGTAAGTAATATTAATGGACAGAAGTATTATTTTTTGTAGATGCTTTGTTGTTATTGTTCTGGCAGCTTCAATAGTAGCTGAAATTCATGTCAGTAATTAGGCCAAACATGAACTTTGAAATGTGTTAACCTCCTAATCCTGCTGTGATCCAACTCCCAAAGTAACTATAGTGTGGAAATGTCCTCTCTTTATTCCCTCACCCTTACCAACAACTCTAACACTGGTTTCCGTGCTCAGGAATTTGGGCAGCATCGTCACGATTTCCTGTGCATTCACTTTAAGAATGGAAGTCAATAGATGGTGTGGTGTTGGACAGTGGAATTCCCAATATGTGATTGTGGCTATGCAAGAGTATGATGGGGTGGTGAACACTATATTCAATTAACTGTTCCCTTTGGCGCACATGGAGCAATGCCATTGCTTAATTTTAAATATTAAATAGCATGCTTGATAGCATTATGTTTAAAGCATTATTTGAAAGACCCCAATGATCTGTGTTCCAGTGACTAAAACAGAAATTACTGGTGCAATTCAACAGGTGGCAGATTCTGTGGGGAGAAAGCAGAGTTAACGTTTTGAGTCCAATGACTCTTCATCAAAACTGTTCCAATGAAAGGTAGAATTGAGTGGTGTTGTGCTTTGGGTTTATCCAAAAACAATCTGGTGTTTTGAACATTGCAGGCAATGGATGACAAGTATCATATGACAGAAGTGAGTGTCAGAGAATTGGATGTGGAAACTAGCAGCTTCATTCCTAGTTTAAGTCATGGTGATTGTCACTAACAGATGGGCTGATCTACACATCTGATATGCCAAATGGTGTCCCCTCAGCTGGAATGGCAATGTGTAGGAATAAAGTTAAGCTATGACAGATATTCTCCAAACCCTGAATGTATGTTTTGATCTCTTTGTCACAGAAATCTCCGGTAATGCTTGCAGGCATGGCTGATGGAATGGTCGCAGTTTACTCTCTGGCCAATGAAATTCCTGAGGGTTGGTGTTCCTATCTGTGCTCACGCTCAGCAAATAAGTTTCAGTTTAAAATCTCCGACAACGACCTTCGACAGAATGCGTATCCAGTTACTGATATGATAGCAGTGAACAATGGATCAGAAGTGTGGTACAGCAACGGTCCTGGGATCCTGATCATAGACACACTTGCTACAGAAATAACTCGGAGATTAGAACCTTATCAAGCTCCCTCACAAGTCATATCAATGACTTGCAATATGGGATGTAATGGGGAAGAGGCCATTTGGTGTCTGGATGATAAGACAAGTACTTTAATTATGTACCGTTCATATCAGGTCTGTGCCCATTATACGTGCAGTGACTGTAATCCACTGAGAGACATGTTCCCCATCCAGCAGCCTGCTAGTTTTGCAACAACCACAGCCATTACACCCACAGATACGACTGATTCCAACTCCATGGACGTCAGCATCATTTTCAATGATGAGGTTGGAACCCAAGTTATAAGACATTCTGACTCCATGACTGATTACTGTTCTCTGTCATCCGAATCTCACTCCTGTACCAACAGGAACACCAGGACATCATTCAGTGCCCTGAGTTCCCCAGCCAGTCCCACAAGTATTCCTCATTCTACTGACTGTGAGTCAAGTTTATCACATGACAGGCATGGAAGCATCTCCCCATCAGTGCATGATATTGAACAGCTACAAGCTGTAAAAATCCTAACCGTTAAGGACACCCTGTGGATACCAAGGTAGGTTGCTTATCAGATCCACTCAATTTGAAAAACATATGTTCACTCTCTAAGTGCAGCAGGTTGGATATCACAAAGCAAAATTAAAAATGCAGGTTTCTTCATTTATAACTTCGTAATATATTTAGTTTGTAGATGCTTAATGGTATTAATAATTTATGTTAGGTCAGTTTATAGATTATACAATGAACGAATCAAGTGTTAATGCAGTCGACAGTTGTCAACAGTATTTTGGTATGTTATAATTAAACTAATTTGTAAAATTGATATGAATGGAAATATTAGTTTTGTTAATGTGTAATTCCCCTTGTTGCAACCTTCTTATTTAGCTAGTGCTCTTCTACAAATAAGCAAGTTGTTTATTTTGATCCACTATTGTGTTGGTACACAGCTGAGGGCCAGGCTATACTTGCCCAAATACATAGTCTTTGCCATATGTGTGTATAGTACACACAAAAATAATAGCACTTCTTAGTATCACATTGTAATTGAAGGGTGTATTTTGGAGAGTTGTATCAAATTCTGGATTTTGGGGGTAAATGTAATTTGCATTGCGTGCATCTGCGAGTGAGTGTAATGGTTTTGCAATATAGATGAAATGTTTTGGGGTATGGTAGAGAGTGAGTATTATGCTTTATGGTTTGGGGTGTGGCTGAGCGTGAGTTCAATAGTTTAGGGTGTTGTTGCTGTTTTCTAAACAAAATGTATTGGGATTCTTAACGGAAGCCTAACAAAAATTTTAAGCTTTGAACTGAAGAGGCTGCTCATGGAGATTTTTAAGCTTGTTAAAGATGTAATGATTAATTGCCCTGCCATATTATACTTTGAGCCCATGCTGCTGAGAAAGCTCATGGGTTAAAGTCTTGATGTGACAATAATTAAGTCACTCACAGGGTGTGGGCGTCTCTGGCAAGGCCAGCATTTATTGTCCATCCCTAATTACCCAGAGAGCAGTTAAGAGTCCACCATATTGCTCAGTTCCCAGGACACAGTATTTGTTTATCCATAAATTCAAAAAACGATAGGCTGAGCAAATGCAAATCAGCTGCAGTTGTCAATGTACATTTCTTTGAATAGAATTATGTGGGATGGAGGCAATGGCCTAATGGTATTATCGCTTCACTGTTAACCCAGAGACCCAGATAACGTTCTGGGGGTGCAGGTTCGAATCCCATCACGGCAGATGGTAGAATTTGAATTCAATAAAAATATCTGGAATTAAGAATCTAATGATGACCATGAATCCATTGCCGATTGTTGGGAAAACCCATCTGGTTCGCTAATGTCCTTTTAAGGAAGGAAACTGCCATCCTTACCTGGTCTGGCCTACGTGTGACTCCAGATCCACAGCAATGTGGTTGGCTCTTAACTGTCCTCTGGGCAATTAGGGATGGGCAATAAATGCTGCCTCGCCAGTGAAGTCCTCATCCTGTTAATGAATTAAAAAAACGTAAGTGATTCAACACAGATATAATCTCGTCATATTTCATTTTGGCATTCTTATGCGTTTTGTTTCTCTGTCTTTCCAGTGTTGTTTATACTTATTTTAACTTTTCAAACACCAAGTGATCTTTGGGATTTAATGGACTGTAATTTTATTAATGGAGCATGTACAGTAAAGCAATCTGCTCATTCACACTGTGATCCAGTCCTCATGGGACATCCAATAAAGTCAGCATTCATTATGATCAAAAGCTATTGAAAGATGGTTTCATAAACCTTACAGTTCTGTTGCCCGTGTCCTACCCAACATGAAATCCTGCTGGCCTTGGAAAATCAGGTTGATAGTGGATCTCAAAGAAAGGAATTTGTGAAATGTCTACATGATGATTTTTTGGAACAGCTTGTGGTATAGCCCACTACAGAACAGACAATTCTGGATTTGGTGATGTGTAGGCAGGCTTGATTAGGGAGCTGAAGTGAAGTAAAACTGGGGGAAGTGACCACAATATGATAGGATTCACCCTGCAATTTGAGAGGGAGAAGCTGGATTCCGATGTAGTGGTATTACAATCAAGAAAAGGTAGCTACAAAGATACGAGGAAAGAGTTGGCCAGAGTTGTTTGGAAGGGGAGCCTAGCAGGGAAGACAGTGGAAAAGCAATGGCAGGAGTTTCTGGGGGTAATTTGGGAGACACAGCAGAAATTCATCCCAAGGAAGAAGAAACATACTAGGAGGAGGTTGAGGCAACCATCGCTAACAAGTCAGGCAAAGGACAACTAAAAAAGCAATAAGCGGGTAAGTGATGAAATATGACAGTAACCTAGCTATTAAGATAAGAGACGATTGCAGGAGTTTTCTTAGATATATGAGGTAAGAGAGAGGCAAGTCTGGACATTGAACCACTGGAAAATGAGGTTGGAGAAATAATGAGGAGCAAAGAAATGGCAGAGAAGTTGAATAGGTACTTTGCATCAGTTTTCACGGTGGAAGACACCAGCAGCTTAACAGAACTTGAAGATTCGAGTCGGGGCAGAAGTGAGTGTAGAAACTGTCACTAGGGAGAAGATGTTGGGGAAGCTGAGAGGGCTAAATGTGGATAAATCACCAGGACCGGATGGACTACGCCCCAGACTTTTGAAGGAAATAGCTAAGGAGAGTGCGGAGGCATTGGTGATGATCTTCCATGGGTCACTGGAGTCAAGGAAGGTCTCGGAGGACTGGAAAATGGCTAATGTAAGCCCCCTGCTTAAGAAGGGAGGGAGGCAGAAGACATTAAACTCAGGGTGAGATTGCAGAGTACATGGAAGTGCATGCTAAAATAGGGCTGAATCAGCATGGTTTCGTCAAGTGGAGGACATGCCTGATAAATCTGTTAGAATTCTTTGAGGATGTAATGAGTAAGTTGGACAAAGGAGAACCAGTGGACATGATCTAGTTGAATTTCCAAAATTTGACAACATAAAAAATAGAAACAGAAATTAGGCCATTCAGCCCATCGAGTCTGCTCTGCCGTTCAGTCATGGCTGATAAGTTCCTCAACCCCATCCTCCTGCTTTCTGCCTGTAACTTTTGATCCCCTCAACAATCAAGAACCTATCTATCTCTGTCCTAAATATGCTCAATGACTGGCCTCCACAGCCTTCTGAGGAGTGAGTTCCAGAGATTCACCACTCTCTGATTGAAAAGTTTCTCCTCATCTCCTTTCTAAAGGATCTTCCCTTTACTCTAAGGCTATGCCCTCAGGTTCTAGTCTCTCCTACCAATGGAAACATCTTCCCAATATCCACTCTGTCCAGGCCATTCAGTATTCTGTAAGTTCCAATTAGATCACCCCCTTATCCTTCTAAACTCCATCGAGTATAGACCCGGAGTCCTCAAACATTCCTCATATGTTAAGCTTTTCATTCCTGGGACCAATCTCATGAGCCTCCTCTGAACCTGCCGCAGGGCCAGTACATCCTTCCTGAGATATGGGGCCCAAAACTGCGCAAAATACTCCAAATGTGGCCTGACCAGAGCCTTATAGAGCCTCAGAAGTGCATCCTGCATTTATATTCAAGTCCTCTCAAAATAAATGCCAACATTGCATTTGGCTTCCTAACTACTGATTCAACCTGCAAGTTTACCTTGAGAGAGTCCTGGAGCAGAACTCCCTAGTCCCTTTGCACTTCAGATTTCTGAATTTTCTCCCCATTTAGAAAATAGTCCATACCTCTATTCTTACCAAAGTGCATGACCTCACACTTTCCCATGTTGTACTCCATCTGCCACTTCTTTGCCCACTCTCCTAACCTGTCCAAATCCTTCTGCAACTTCCCCGCCACCTCAATACTACCTGTCCCTTTACCTACCTTTGTATCGTCTGCAAACTTAGCCAGAATGCCCTCAGTTCCTTCATCTAGATCATTAATGTATAAAGTGAAACGTTGTGGTCCCAATACTGACTCTTGTGGAACACTACTTGTTCACTTTTAACCCCACTTTCTGCCTTCTGCTAGACAGCTAATCTTCTGTCCATGCTAGTACCTTGCATCTAACATCATGGGCTCTTATCTTACTCAGCAGCTTCCTTTGCGCCATGTGTCAAAGGCCTTCTTGAAGTCCAGGCAGATACCATCCATTAACTCTCCTTGGTCTAACCTTCTCGTTACTTCCTCAAAGAATTCTAGCAGATTCGTCAGGCATGACCTCCCCTTGATGAAACTATGCTGACTTTGCCCTATTTTGTCATACACTTCCAAGTATTCAGAAATCTCATCCTTCACAATGGACTGCAAAATCTTACCCACAACTGAGGTTAAGCTAATCGGCCTATAATTTTCTGTCGTTTGCCTTGCTCCCTTTTTAAACAGGGGTGTCATGTTAGCGATTTTCTAGTCCTCTGGAATCCTCCCTGAGTCTAGCGATTCCTGAAAGATCACCACTAATGCCTCCTCTGTCTGTTCAGCTATGTCCTTTAGAACTCTGCGGTGTAGTCCATCTGGTCCAGGTGATTTGTCCACTTTCAGGCCAATCAGTTTTTCTAGCACCTCCTCCTTAGTGATGGCCACCATACTCAGCTCTGCCCCCTGACTGTCTCGAATTTTTGGGATATTACTCCTGTCTTCCACTGTGAAGACTGACGCAAAGTAATTATTCAGTTCCTCAGCCATTTCCTTGTTCCCCACTACTAATTCTGCAGCATCATTTTCCAGTGGTCCAATGTCTACTTTTGCCTCTCTTTTGCCCTTTATATATCTAAAGAAACTCTTACAGTCTTCCTTTATATTATTGGCTAGCTTACCTTCATATTTAATCTTCTCCCTCCTTGTGTCTTTTTTTTTTTGTTGCCCTCTGTTGGTTTTTGTAGGCTTCCTGTGGCTTCCCACTGTCCTTTGCCACATTATGTGCTTTTGCTTTTATGCCGTCCCTGACTTCCCTTGTCAACTATGGTTGTCTCATCCTCCCTTTAGTATGCTTCTTTTTCCTAGGGATGAATTTTGCTGGGCCTCCTGAATTACTCCCAGAAACTCTTACCATTGCTGTTCCACTGTCTTTCTTGCTAGGCTCCTCTCCAA